CCCTCACCGTTCCCCCCTCCCCCCCGACTTTCTCTCTCTCTCTTTCTTTCTCTTTTTCCCCCGTGAACCGAGGCCTGCGCGGCTTACATCCGCCGGGCCCCGGCAGTCTCTCTTCCCCTCCCCGACTTTCTTCCCCCTCCTCACCTGTCTCTCGCCGCCGCCGCTGCTGCTGGGCCTCTCCGGCCATTCGGTTCCTTTCCCGCACACGGAAGCCAGGTAGGTCGCAGAGCGTTCCGTGCGCATGTGCACGGAATGCTCTGGCACTTTCGGGGGGGATTTAAACATCCCCCCGAAAGTGTTTTCAACATTTAGCGTTTTTGTGCACACGTGGGGACCGCCCCACATGTGCACAAACCTCTCCCTTCCCCCCCAAGTGCCCCCGATATCCGGATCTAAGGATCCGCACAGAGGGGGCCAGTTCAGTATTAGATATATAGATATTGGCTGTGATCATACACACAACTAGACCCGGCATAGGTGCGAATGCCGGGCAGATTTGAAGGGCACGATCAGACAACAACATCTGGGAAACGCCCCACAGCCACCGGCAACCTGTTTTGCTCCACCAAAGAAGCGCAGTTAAAAGACACCGGGGGAAATCCGGTAGTAAATGGGTTGCGACGGGCCACGGATGGACTTCTTGTCTGATCGCTCCAGCGCACTCTCATGGCGTCGGGATGGTCTGATCAGGCCATTCTGACTCCATGCTGTTGTTTCTTCCCCCTTCTCAGTATGTGCATCGTTGCACACTCCGTAGGGAGCCCTCAGTGCGGAAGTGCGATTCATCGAGCCAGTTTGGTGTCGTGGTTAAGTGCGTAGACTCTAATCTGGGAGAACCGGGTTTGATTCCCCACTTCTCCACTTGCACCTGGCTGGCTGACCTTGGGCAAGCCGTAGTTCTGATAGGAGCTGTTCTTGGAAAAGGGCAGTTTCTGTCAGAGCTCTCTCAGCCCCACCTACCTCACCGGGGGTCTGTTGTGGGGAGGGGAAGGGAAAGGAGTTTGTAAGCCGCTCTGAGACACCTTTGGGTAGTGAAGGGCGGGGTATAAATCCAATCTCTTCTTCTTCATCGATCCCTCATTGAAGGGCATGGGGAAAAACAGCACACACACAAAAAAACACTCACCCGCAGTTGCGTCTGATCACGCACTGACGGGCTGTGCTCGCAGCTGCAACAGGAGGTGTGATCGTGCAACTGCGGGTCAAATTCTTCCGGAGGAAATAGCCTCGCTTCCCCCCCCCCCCCGTTGCGTCTCGCTCATGTGACTGCAACCATTGAATAGCTGTTTGGTTTTATTGCTCTCGTGTTTTCTGTGTTTGTCATTATTGATTCCCCACTTCTCCACATGGTCTTTCCTAATAGTATGTGCTTCTGTAAATTGTTACATAAATAAAAGATCATTAAGGACAAAAGTCATAGTCCACCTTTCTCACTGGGCCACAAGGCTTGATCACACAGAATAAATCAGTACAGTCGACAAAACGGAACATCCAAGAGACAGTGTGACAGCATTTGACTTGTAGAGATCTGGAAACTGACCAGAGATAAAGCACAATATATGGATTAAAACACAGCATGTTTTTTAAAAAGCACAAGCAGGGCTCTTTTTGTAGCAGGAACTCCTTTGCACATTAGGCCACACACCCCTAATGTAGCCAATCCTCCAAGAGCTTACAGAGCTCTTCTTACAGGAGCTACTGTAAGCTCTTGGTGGATTGGCTACATTAGGGGTGTGTCACTTAATATGCAAAGGAGTTCTTGCTACAAAAAGAGCCCTGCGATAGCAGTAACAGATGGCATAAACAGTGGTGTAGTCTACAGTCCCTAACCCTTTACCCCAAGCGTCTTTCTGAAACAGACGGTTACAGTGCCGCCCTGTTTCCTGTGCAGAAGGCCCTATTGAATAATTCAGTTTTGTCGAGTGTGTGGAAAGTCTGGAGCGCGGGAGCCTTCCTGACCTCCCCGGGCAGTCCGTCCTGGAAGGCGGGAGCCACAACACAGAACACGTGTATGGGCCTGTGGCTGGTGTTGCCCGTTTGCAGGGTGGCACCGGCAGAAGGCTCTGCTCAGGCGATAACACTTTGTCTGTCTCTCTGTCTGTGGAACAGAGTTCAAGTCCAGCGGCACCTTTAAGACCAACAAGGTTTTATTCAAGATATAGGCTGCCGTGTGCACACCTCAGATGCGTGCACATGGAAGCTTCTACCCAGAATAAAAGTCTGTTGGTCTTAAAGGTGTCACTGGACTTGAACTTGGTTCTGCTGCTTCACACCAACATGGCTGCCATCCCGAGTCTGTCTGTGGAATTCACTCTCCCCCCCTGCAGCGAGTCAGCCTCATCCTCAGCGTCTCGGAGGAATCGTCCCTCCTCAGGTCCCTCAAGCGACGGAAGGAGGTGACTGTCGTTTCCCTGGGGCCTCTGGACTCCCCTGATCGGGCGGTCATGGTCCGTAAGGATCTGGCACTGTATGGCAAGAAGCTGGAAGAGTCCGCCTTCAACAACCAGGTAAATAGAGGGGCTTTTTATGGAGACTTATTGGAACACCCTGCACGAGAATTCCATGTGGCCAGGATTGTGGCACACAAATGTGGAACGGGAAACTTCTGCAGATTCTTAGCTTTTATTTTGGACAAGCTTTGGTGTCTCGGTGGCCCTTGGGAGGGCAGAAAGGCAGGATACAGATTTTGTAAATCAGTATCCTGCAGGCTGCGGAAGGTCGGTAGTTCAGCAGTTCAAGACCCGGGTGCCGCATGACGGAGTGAGCTCCCATCTCTAGTTCCAGCTCCTGCCAACCTAGCAGTTCGAAAGCAAGAAATTGCAAGGAGATACATAGGTACCACTTTAGTGGGAAGGGAACAGCGTTCCGTGCGCCTTGGTGTTTAGTCATGCCGGCCACATGACCACGGAAAACGTCTTCGGACAGCGCTGGCTCTTAGGCTTGGAAACGGAGATGAGCACCGCAACCCTAGAGTCGGATTCGACTGGCTTTCGAGCAAGGAAACCTTTACCTTTACCTTAATGAATAAAGGACGGCGGAAGACAGGAGGGCCTGGCGTGATCTTGTCCATGGGGTCGCGAAGAGTCGGACTCGACTGTGCGACTGAACAACAACAACAACAAAATGAATAAATGTCTAGTCCTCGTGGCTTCCAATATAAATCAGAATTGCTTGAGTGGAGAGATGGGCGTGATGTGTTGTGCATGTATGCTTACAGCAGCCTGTTGAAGTTTTAGAACTTCTGTCAATGTTCAGAGTTTATGTCTTTCTTTTCTGCCCCATCAGGGCCACCCGGGCAGGTGACTCTCTCCCAACAGCCAAAATAGACAAAGCAGCATGAATGTCAGTTTGCATGATTTAGGATGCAGTTTTGGGTGCTTCTTCATCAGGGCAGACTCTGTTCGAGCTATGGAGAACTGGTCCAAGACTGTAAATTCTGGATTCCCACCCTCTCCTCATGACTTTTGGCAAGGGCCCCCATTGTGAAAAAACCTAGGACTGGGGTGGGGGGATAGATGTGGATGGGCTGTTCTGTGGGATACTCTGATTGGTCGGAATAGCAAGGAGGGTTCTGTGGGTCTCCGTCCTGACCAATGCTCCCTCTAAGCTGTGGAGTCTTGTGAGCAAAAGTTCTACTTTGTGAGCTACCGGCATTAAAGTTGTGAGCGAGCGATTTGGCTACTGCATAAATCAGTTTGCTCCGGAGCCCTCCTTCCTGAGCTAAGACAAAAATGTGTGAGTCGGAGACTAAAAAGCTGTGAGCTAGCTCACACGAACTCAGCTTAGAGGGTACACTGGTCCTGACCCCTTTTGTCCTCACAGATGCGCCTCATACTCCTCAAACGTGGCTCCCGGCAGCCTTTGTACCTGATGCTGCTGACGCAAGACCTGCGGCTCTTTGCTCTGTATGAGAAGGTGAGGGGGCCGGTGCGGGTGGAGGAGAGTGCCGCTCGTACAGGGCTGTGTTTCTCAAGGTGCCTGCAGAGTTAGATGTTCAGTTTCCCTTTTCGTCCTCTCCCCCAGCTCTCGGAGAGGATCCAGAAACTGCCTGTCTCTCTCCCTCTGCTGCTGCAGCACCTGCTGGGGTGCCTGGAGCAGGACCATGGGGCGGAGCTGGTCGCCGTAGCCTTGGTGTCTCTCTGGGCCAGCAGGGATGGTGAGTGGAACAAACGGGACTGTTCAACTGTGCAGTCTGTGGTTTGGCTGGCTCTGCACCAGAGGTGGCTGCATCGTAGCATCTCATGAGTTGCCCTTGGGGTGTAGCCAGAGTGGCCTTTGGAAGATTCTTGTCGCTGTGCCCGTTACAGGACTAACCGAGCGAGATCTCTATGGCATCCTGGCTACATGGAAAGAGCTGGATGGAGCCGACATAGGCCTGGGAGAAGCCATTCATGCCGGGAGACATGCTGGAGGCTACCCCATGGCGCCCTTCTTCGACTTCCTCCGGAGCCTGAGGGGGTGAGCAGTTCTTCTTCGGGTTCTCCGGTGGGACCTGTGCACCACTTTGTTTGAATCAGCCTTTGGTCGTTTAAGGAATGATTCACACATCTGAAGAAGTGAGCCGCGACTCACGCAAGACTCCTCCCCTGCCACAACTTTTGTTAGTCCTTAAGGTGCTGCGGTGGCTCAAGTGGTTAAGACGCTGAACTGCAGGCTGTGGAAGGTCGGTAGTTCAGCAGTTCGAGACCCGAGTGTGCCGCGTGACGGAGTGAGCTCCCATCTCTCATTCCAGCTCCTGCCAACCTAGCAGTTCGAAAGCAAGAAATTGCAAGTAGATAAATAGGTACCACTTCAGTGGGAAGGTAGCAGCGTTCCGTGTGCCTTGGTGTTTAGTCATGCCTGCCACATGACCACGGAAACGTCTTTGGACAGCGCTGGCTCTTCGGCTTGGAAACGGAGATGAGCACCGCAACCCTAGAGTCGGACTCGACTGGCTTTCGAGCAAGGGAGACCTTTACCTTTACTTTAAGGTGCTACTGGACTCTTGCTCTTTTCCACTGCTAACGTTGTGGGGGGGGCACAAGGGCTTTAGATCACATGCCCCCCCGGGAGTACCACGCTTCGTGAACTCCTCGGGATCCCTCATTGAGGTGCTCCGCCATCTGTCTAGATGGGCTTGGTGACTGTTTATTTACAGTATATTTGTAGATTCCCTTTCCTCAAAACGTTTACGTGGCAATTAATAAAGAAACAAATGGAAGCATAAAAGTCCAGCTGTGGGAGTAATTCAATAAAACTGCACGGAAGCAGTCCTTAAAGTCTCCCGCTTGATGGAAGAAAAAGATATTGTTTGCTTTCCTCTGGAAAGTGACTGGGGAAGAACTCCTCCACGGTTATGCCCAGGCAAGATAAACTCCAGAGCCACCACAGAAGAGGCCCTGGTCCTGTTAAAATACTTTCTGAACTCTCTTAAGGATGGTGCTTGGAGCAGGGACTCAGGGGCCCTGGACTGCGTAAGCTTTACTCAAAGGCGACAGGGCACGGGGCTGACTGGTGGCAGGGCCCCTCGCCAGCCATGGACCGACCTCACTCCCTGTGTGCCCAGACGTGACATCAGCACATTGCCGGGGGGGGGGGAGGCGGCTCACACCGGGCACGCTCTGACATTTGGAGAAAACTCTGTATCGATAGAATGCCAGAGCGTCCCCAGTGATGTGCTGACGACATTTCCAGGTGCGCAAGAAGTGACATCAGCATGTCAGGATCAGTGTTCCCTCTAAGCTGAGTTAGTGTGAGCTAGCTCACAGTTTTTAGCCTCCAGCTCGCACATTTTTTTCTCAGCTCAGGAAGGAGGGCTCCAGAGCAAACTAATTTATGCAATAGCCAAGTCACCTGCTCACAACTTTAAAGCCAGTAACTCAGAAAGTAGAATTTTTACTCACAGGACTCCACAGCTTAGAGGGAGCATTGGTCAGGATGCTCCCCCCCCCCCAATCTCCCACCATTCCCCCCCACACACACCATCTAGCTGAGCAGCGGCCTGGAAGTGCCCCCTGGTGGTGGAGGATGGCAGACCCAGGGACCGTTGTTCTGACTATGAGCCACCTGGGACATGACCGCAGTCCCCCACTGTGAAAGTGGGACATATCATGATCCCGTTCGGAGCTCGAGACGACTGGCTCCTGGCTCTGAGGGCACTGGGTTAATCGCTCTGGCATTCCCCCACAGCCTCCTCAGGGCATGTGGTTCTCCAGCGGAACCCCCCGGCTCCCGGCTCCATCTCTGTGACACCCCTTTGAAGACGGCGGTGGAAAGGCGCTACCTGAAAAAGCCAGGCTTGGACCGCACAGCTCATGTGCTTTTGGCAGGTAGTCTCCAGGTCTTTCCTTGGGAGAACGGGGCGGGGGGGGGGGGGGGGTGGGGGGCCGGTATGTGTGTAAGCCGCATCACCCCTGCCCTATCCTATGGGAGTCTCCAACCATGTCCTCTTTGGCTGGGTAAACTGAATTGACTCCAGTAGAGCAGCTGTCCTGGTGTTTTACGGAGCTAGTTTGGTGTAGTGGTTAAGAGCATGGACGCTGGGAGAACCGGGTTTGACTCCTCCACATGCAGCTGCTGGTGTGACCTTGGGTCAGTCACACGGTCTTTCAGAGCTGTTCTCTCAGGAGCAGTCCTCGAGAGAGCTCTCTCAGGCCCACCTACCTCACAGGGTGTCTGTTGTGGGGAAGGGAAGGAGAGTGTAAGCCGCTCTGAGACCCCTTTGGCTAGTGAAGGGTGGGGTATAAACCCAACCTCCTCTTCTTCTCCCTTACCTCATGCAGCCCACTGGTGGAAACTCTCCGACCCCGATGGTTCCAGGAGCTTTCGGAACTGTGAGGCAGAATCCTTGACAGCGCTTCCTTACCACCTGGTGAGTGACTGAGCACTACAAGTAATGCCCGTGGCGGTCAAGGTAGCACTCACTGGGGGGCTAGGAATATGCATGGCTGTGACGGTTGTGTTATATTGGGGCATTTTTGGCAGCACCCTGAGCAGCTGAGTTCTTGCTTTTTTAAACCTGGGGGGAAGAGGTGTGTTTCTCATCCTTCACAGATACAGGGAGAAAAGTGGTTAAAGACCTTTGGGAGCAGAGAGATGTTCTGTGCAGATGTGGATTTGAACTTGTCATGGTTGGAAGAGCCATACAGTGTGGAAGAAGCAGGACAGGGAAGTGACGGGGGCCCTGTAGGTGCCTTCTGTTAGAGCGGTGGCTCAAGTGGTTAAGACGCTGAACTGCAGGCTGTGGAAGGTCAGTAGTTCAGCAGTTCAAGACCCGAGTGTGCCGCATGATGGAGTGAGCTCCCGTCTCTAGTTCCAGCTCCTGCCAATCTAGCAGTTCGAAAGCAAGAAATTGCACGTAGATAAATAGGTACCACTTCGGTGGGAAGGGAACAGCGTTCCGTGCGCCTTGGTGTTTAGTCATGCCCGGCCACATGACCACGGAAAGGTCTTCGGACAGCGTTGGCTCTTCAGCTTTGAAACAGAGATGCGCACCGCAACCCTAGAGTTGGATTCGACTGGCTTTCGAGCAAGGGAGACCTTTACCTTTACTTTCCCCCATCAGGTCCAAAGTGGCTGTCTCGACATTCTGGCTTCTCTCCTGACTGACCTGAGAGTCCTGAGCGCTCATGTCCGGCTGGGCCTCCTCCCCTTCCTCTCAGAAGCCTATGCGCTCTATGGTGAGTCATAGGGGGCGAAAACCAAACTGCTTGTTAAACTTGACTTTTAAGCTAATCAAGACAGACCACATACCAAATCCATCCTCCCATCTCCACTGACCTCAAACCTCTACCCTGACAGAGGGTGCCGTTGGCTCGGAACACGATGAGACCGTGGACGCTTTCCGTGCCTTCTTGCAAAGGAATATTGACCTGATTTCCCAGAATCCTTGGCTGCTTCTGCAACAGGCTGCGAATGAACCAGACTCCTCCGCTCTCTGTTCGCAAGCCCAGGCTGAGCTGTGCGGAAATGGAAGGCATTTCCTGAAGTGGATTAACAAACCTCAGGAAGCCCAAGAAAATGTGAGGTAATTTTGTAAAGGAGGCGCCATGGAAACAATTTTATGCACACACCTCTTTCCTACAGAGTATAATCTGTTTATTTTTCCTTCCTCCAATATTCACCAGCCTCGTTCTGCCTCTACCAGCCACACCATCCAGTGCCTCAGTTTCCCCCTCTGGAAGCCTGGCTGCTGTGGGCACTGTTGAGGGAACCCTCCACTTCTTCGATATGAAGACTGAGCAGGTAAAACTGTTGGTTTGACTTGTGCCACCTGTCAATACCCCTCAGTAGAGTTGCTTAGCATCGGGGCCTTTTGATATTCCCCAGTTGCCACTGTTGGAAACAGAGCGATGGATGTTTGAGCTGATCCGCGAAGGAAATTCTAATGTCCCTTCACCCCAATCTCCCCCCACCCACCCCCGCACTGCTATTTAGGAACTGAAATCCTTGCTGAGCAACTGTGATGGAATCTCTGCCTGCGTGTTCCTGTCAGAGACGTCGGTCTGCCTCGGTACCTTCGATGGACGGTTGGAGCTCTGGAGCGTGAGGGAAGGATGCAGGTCGGTCCCTTAGATGGTGCTCAGAAACCATTGTGCAGAATGGGAAGTGGCAACAATTTTCAGCTGAGGCCAACCGGAAGGTTGAGGGACCAGGCATGGGGGTGGGTAGATGCAAAATGGCTGCCATGCTTCCTTGGAATGGTAAGGCTGGAAGTTGATTGAGTGTCCAGATCTGAGCACTCCCAATGCTGGTGATGCAGTGACTGGCCAATCCCTGTGCCAGCTGCTGCTCTTCCAAGTGGCAGCCCGGGATCAGGGCGGGTGACTGAATCCATATATGACCACGAAAGCTCAGATCCCCGGCTCTGGTTGCGAATTCTTTTGATACCATCCCTCCCAGGTGCTCACTGGTTTCTCATTCCGTTTGCAGGCTCATGGGCATGGAGGCTCACAAGGCCCAGATTACAGACTGCTGCACCAATCCTGACCTCCGACTGTTGGCTACTGTCTCCCTGGATGGCTACATTAAGGTAGGGGCCTCTCTCCCACCCCTCTTTCTGACTCACTGGAGCTGTGTTATATTCCAGTTTTCCAGGAGTTAGGAAGCTCCATAAGCCGTCCCTATCACGTTTTTAAGAAGTTCACATTATCAAGTGGTTACCGGAGGCCACCTCATAAGAACATAAGAGAAGCCAATGTTGGATCAGGCCAGTGGCCCATCCCGTCCAACACTCTGTCGTCACACAGTGGCCAGAAATACCAGATGCCATCAGGAGGTCCATCAGTGGGGCCAGGGCACTAGAAGCCCTCCCACTGTTGCCCCCTCCCCAGCACCAAGAAGACAGAGCATCACTTGCCCCAGAGTCCCTATCTATACCTTGTGGCTAATGGCTACTGATGGACCTCTGCTCCATATGTTCATCCGATTCCCTCTTGAAGCCGTCCATGCTTGTAGCCGCTGCCACCTCCTGTGGCAGTGAATTCCTCAGGGTGCCTTGTAGTCGTAATGTCCCTTTTAACAGCCCATGGAGTCCTCTTCCTTCATCTCCAAATTCCAAGCTTCTCATTTGATCTAATCTTAAATTGGAACTGAATTTGGGAAACTCAGGTTCCAGTGTCACCTACCACTGACCCATTGGCAGAGTCTGTTCCCACCTCTAAAAGGTAAAGTGAGCCGTCATGTCGCAACTGACGGATGGTGACCTCGTTGTGGGGTTTTCAAGGCAAGAGACATTCAGAGCTGGTTTGCCATTGCCTGCCTCTGCATACTGTCCCTGAGCTTCCCATCCAAGGCCTAACCATGGCCAGCCCTGCTTACCTTCTGATTTTCTTTTTCAGCTCTGGGAGTCGGCCCGGGGTCACATGATACGTGAGCGAGACTGCTCACATCCCTTGAACTGTGCGGCCTTCCACCCTGTGGGTCAGCTGGTGGCCGCAGGAGGGTGGAATAGGACTGTCACCATTCTGGACGTGAATGATATGAGCGTGGTTTCGGTGAGGAAGGGGAAGGTTCAAAATGGCATGGGGTGGGGGTCGTGGTAGTCGTGGAGCTTTGGGGGCTCGTGAAAGAGAGGGCAACCAAAATGGGGGGCTTTCAGGTTATTTTCAAAGAAGGCTTATAGAGCCGTGTCATTTTCTCGACTCAAATCTTCTTCTGCAGGAGTTAAAAGGCCACGACGCGTCCATCTGTTGCATTTCCTTCTCCTCTGCTGGCAACGTTTTGGCAGCCGGGTCTCTGGCTGGAACCGTCTGTCTCTGGTCGTGGCGGGAAGCTGTCGCCTTGTGCACTTTCACGGCTCACTCTGGCTGTGTCGCCACCGCTCAGTTCCTCCCAGGGGGGAAGCTCATCACTGCAGGAGAAGACAGCAAGGTACTGCTTTGTACAGCCAATGAACCGGCTTCCAGATTCATAGGACTTAGGAGAAAAGGATCGGGAGTCCTAGACTGTGAAAGGAGGAGGAGCAAAAATCTTGCCTTGCCTGGGTTCATTCTGGGTCATGGCCATTTGAAAAACTCTTCATCCAGCGGGCCAGCCCTAGGTTCACCAATTAGGGTTGCCAGCTGGCCTGGAGAGAAACATCCTTTTTAATAGAAGCTTAATATGTGGCAAGAAGGAAGGCAGCCTGTTACAGCCCGATCTTCTGAGAACTCAGAAGTTAAGCAGGATCAGTATTTTGAATGGGAGACCACCAGGGAAGGCTCTGCAGAGGAAGGCGATAGCCAGCTACCCCAGTTCCTCACTTGCCTTGATGGCCCTTTGCTGGTGGTCACCATAAGTCAGTTGCAACTTGATGGTACTTAAGTATGTCACGTGTGGAAATGGACACTTGAACCATTTCATGGGACTGCAGTAAATAACATCACCTGGCCGATAGCATTCCATGAAGCCTCTGTTGAAGGGACAGGAGATGTTTTTCTCCAGGCCAGTTGGCAGTCCTAGCACCAGCCAGCATATTAGGATACATCATGTCAGTTTTGACGCTTGCCAGATAGTAAGGAGAATAGATCCAGAGTTCTGTTAGCCACAGTTCCGCAAATCTGGGGCAAAAAAGCCATACCTCTATTCTTTTATAATTAAGCAGATGCAAGGGAGTGGCAGAGTGGAGTAGGGCATCAGTTTGCAGGCGGGGAGAGCAGCAGAAACCCGTCTGTGTGCAAGCCAGTGATTCTCTGGTCTGGTCTGACAAATGCCCCCCGCCCTGCATTGTAGGTCCAGCTTTGGACTGGCCACTTGGGACAGCTCTGGAGCACCTTACAGTCCTCGGCCCTTTCCGCTGCTCTGTGCACAGCCCCCAGTCCGGACGGCAGCCGGCTCGCTGTCGGGTACCACTCTGATGACGTCTGGGTCCATCACCAGCCGTGGCGTAAGTGACCAGCAAGACGCCGTGTCTGGAGAACACATGGGGGGAGTACAGGTGCTCGGGGATGTGGAATGACATGGTATAGCCCAACCGTGTCAAATCTCACAGGGTCGGTACCTGGAAGGGAGATCACCAAGGAAGGCCCTGCAGAGGAAGGCGGTGGCAAACCATCTCTGCTTCTCACCTGCCTTGGAAGCCCCTTGCTGGGGTCATCATATGTCCGTTGGGACTTGATAGCGGTTACGTGTGGATGCAGTTTGCTGGAGGACTGGTCTTTAAAGCTGTGGTGTTTTCTTCCATGTGGCTTCCCCTCTCCCTTGCAGGACCTGGCGTCGGCCCAACACACTGCAGAGCGAGCGGGGTGGCTGTCTGCAGCCTGGCTTGGTTGGACAACCTCTTCCTGGTTGGGGGCAGCAACAACGGCTCCCTGTGCATCTGGAACACCTCAGACCTCCCTCCCTCGTGCCTTCGTACGCTTCAGGGTCACGACGGAGCTGTGACAGGCCTTGCGGTCTCCAAGAACTTGATGGCATCGACTTCAGGTGACTCGGGAGCTCCGGCAGAGTTTTGGGGAGGCGTGGGGAGTTCTGGGTGGCGCCCCTCCAGGGGACCTCGGTCGGAAATGGCAGATGACAGAAGAAGTCGACTAGGCAGGTGAACCTCTCGCCAAGCAGGAAAACTTCCTTTTTATCCTAGTCTACCTATTTGGCGTTCCGTGCGCGTCGGTGTTTAGTCATGCCGGCCACATGACCACGGAAACGTCTTCGGACAGCGCTGGCTCTTCGGTTCTGAAACGGAGAGGAGCACGGCAACCCTAGAGTCAGATTCGACTGGCTTTCGAACAAGGGAAACCTTTACCTTTACTTTTTACGTATTTGGTATAGGGGTTAGGAGCACGGACTCTAGTCTGGGAGAACCGGGTTTGATTCTCCACTCTTCCCCATGCAGCTGTTGGTGTGACCTTGGACAAGCCACTGTTCTCTCAAGAGCAGTTCTCTCAGGGCTCTCTCAGCCCCACCTACCTCACAGGGTGTCTGTTGTGGGGAGAGCTCTGAGACTTCAAGTGAAGGGTGGGTTACAAATCCAATCTACTCCTCCTCCTCCTCCTCCTCCTTCGAAGGCAGGAATTAGCTCACAGCAAGAGGAAGAGCTGTGGTCCATGTGTGTCAGTTCAGGCAGTGTAGCCAAGTAAGTGACTGGCTGATTGGCTACTGTAGTTTACCACCCTGGTGTCCAGCTGTGGTATGGTCTCCTTGGTATACTCAGTTCTTTTGGGTTTTTTTACTTGTTCAAATTGTAAATGTTTTATTGTGGCTATAAAACTGGAAGGCCTAAAACAGAAAGCATATGCATTTGTAGACTTCTTTGGTATAGGGGTTAGGAGCACGGACTCTAGTCTGGGAGAACCGGGTTTGATTCTCCACTCTTCCCCATGCAGCTGTTGGTGTGACCTTGGACAAGCCACTGTTCTCTCAAGAGCAGTTCTCTCAGGGCTCTCTCAGCCCCACCTACCTCACAGGGTGTCTGTTGTGGGGAGAGCTCTGAGACTTCAAGTGAAGGGTGGGTTACAAATACAATCTACTCCTCCTCCTCCTCCTCCTCCTTCGAAGGCAGGAATTAGCTCACAGCAAGAGGAAGAGCTGTGGTCCATGTGTGTCAGTTCAGGCAGTGTAGCCAAGTAAGTGACTGGCTGATTGGCTACTGTAGTTTACCACCCTGGTGTCCAGCTGTGGTATGGTCTCCTTGGTATACTCAGTTCTTTTGGGTTTTTTTACTTGTTCAAATTGTAAATGTTTTATTGTGGCTATAAAACTGGAAGGCCTAAAACAGAAAGCATATGCATTTGTAGACTTCTATAAACATTTCATTGCACATCAGTAAGTTAGCAAAATTGTTAACTTCCCCCCCCCAAAAAAAATAAAATAAAGAAAACCAAGACAATCAGTTTTATGGATTAGTTATTGGCCCTGGTTGGGAGAATGAACGTGGCTCCTCAGGACTATGGAAATCAATAGGACTCGTCAGCTGTGATTTCCCATTCAACAGGATGTAGGTGTGGTTAACTTTCTCTGTATTAGGTTTTAATTTCAAGGCCGATCTTGGAATTTTTAAAGAAATAAACAGGAAGGGATCCACTGACCACATGCGGAGTGGCTTCCCTTTAGCAGTGAGTAACTTTTAACTGAAAGTTAAGGGTTCCCAGTTTGGACCCTGTGACTTCCAGTCTGATGTGGTCTCAACATTTCTCTCTGCAGAAAAGTATTGTCCAGCGTGGCCGGTGGCTGGTAAGAGAAACTGTGGCACGTGGCCCCTGACTACCGCAGGCTAGGTTCTCTACTGCCTCTGGCTCCTGCTCTTGAGTAGAGGAAGGTTGGCATGTCCATCCTCCAGATGCTGCCATCTTCTTACCCGTCTCTTTTCCCTCTTCCAGAGGATTTCACCATCCGTCTGTGGCTCACAGAGACCCTGAGACCCGGCCTGGCCACGGACACCAGCGTCTCCCCACTCGCTACCCTTCAGGGTCACACTGCTGGAGTTACCTGCTGTGCTTTCAGTCCTGACGGGTGCTACCTTGCCACTGGAGGCAAAGACCGGGTAAGGCTGTAATACTGATGTGGGCTTTAGAGGGCCTGTGGGTTTCCTGTGCAGCCTGTTGGAGGTTTCTTCCCTGAAAAATAGCTTCCCTGCTGTGGCTAATTGTCCCCCACAATGTTCAGCAACTACAGCAAAATATGGAGTGAGTGTGAGGCGTGCATTTGGTTCAGGCAGGGCAGTTAGAGGCCAGCAGGGCTGACCAGGGTATGAGAATATGTCCCAGGATCCTTTGCGGTGGGCAGGTGTTCCTTGGCAGTCGGTTGACATGGAGAGCCTTTTGGTGTGAAAAAACTGCTCCTCCGGGGAAGGGGACAAGAGATGGCTGCTCTGCTTAAGAAATATCAAGGGGCCAGTGTTACCTCTAAGCTGAATTAGTTGACTTAGCTCAGTTTTGTAGTCTCCAGCTCAGACATTTTTGTCTTAGCTCAGGAAGGAGGGCTCCAGAGCCAGCTAATTTATGCAGTAGCCAAATCACAACTTTAATGCCAGTAGCTCACAAAGTAGAATTTTTGCTCACAAGACTCCACAGCCTAGAGGGAGCATTGCAGGGGGCAGCTTTCAGATTCTCTGACTTTGTAAGATCCAGGAATGCTGTGGTTAGAGTGCCAGACTGGGACTGGAGAGGCATGGGTTCGAATCCCCATTCCACCAGGAAGCCACTGTCTTAGACAAAACAGTCAGTGGTTTAGAAAAGGGTGTACATTTTGCATGTCTCTTAATAATCAGGGGAGCAACAGTAAGGTTCCGAAAAACACGAACAGGGAAAATTCCCATCTTGCGAAGAGTCACTTTCTTCTTCAATAGCAATGCTGGCAGATTTGAAGACGCAAAAGACAGAATAACTCTTTGGAGGTGGCCGTTGTACGTTCAAAGCTTCTACCTCATTAAGATCGATGTCAGAGTATTTCAATTGAAGGACAGAGGCAAGATGTCTCTTAACTTGAGAAAGGGTTAGCCAGCTGGGGACGAAGCCATATCTGCCCTTAATTGTTAGGGCAACTCTCCAAGGTTGGTAGACTAGTTGAGAAAGCCACTGTCACTGTCCGAGAGGTTGAGATGAGGAGTGGGGAAACCAGTTGCCCATTTGTTTACTTTCATTTGTCATCTGCCTTCCTTGTTGAGACCTGAAGCAGGTAAATAGTACATGAAGAACAGTACAAGAACGACCATCAAGGCAATAACAGCAAATGCTTCCGCTCTGTTCTCAGGCCTTGTTTCTCTGGGACGTGAGGGACCCCTCCCGGAAGACCCCCTTCCTCTGGCGCTCCCTGCCTTTCTGCCACCAAGACTGGATCTCCACCTGTGCCTGGGCAGGCCCCATGTTGGTGCGTTCGGGTGATCCACGTTGGTGGGCTCTCGTGCGGGGGAGAGGGGGAGAATTCCAGGAGCAGGGGAGGGACCGGACGAGCTCACAGCCCTGACCAGTGGGTAGAATCGCCCACTTCCTTGCCCACCTGTCAGTTGGCGCGCCGGCCTGAGCACCGGGTGTCACAGCGGGAATTGCTCCTGGTGAGTCAAGCAAGCCGGACCCTTTCAAAATGCCTCCAGTGACTCTCCCGCTTCCTGCCCTTTTCCGGCCACCCTGCCTGTTGTTTTATGCAGCCGCTACGCCTGGGGGCGTGGAACTCTGTGGGAAGTCGGACGGCTGAGCTGCTCAAAAGCACTGATCCCTTGAGACTCCCCAAGGAGTCCCTGAGGTGGGTGGTGGGGGAGAGGGCCCTCTGCAGCCTCATTCTTAACTTCCTGTCCGGTTTTGCCACTCTCCAAACAGCTGTCTGGTTCCAACGACTGCACCGTTTGCCTCTGGGATCCCCAGACTGGCAAACGCCTCCGGGTGTTCCTGGGTCACCAGAGCCCCGTCTGCGGGGTTACAAGTGAGGTAAGGCAGCCCTCTGGGGGTTCTTGATGAGAGAGGGTGCAACTGTCATGCTTTCGTACCCCAGATTGGCCTCGGAGCGCTTTCCTCTTCCTGCAAATCTCTTGGGCTTGGGCACTTGGGCGGGTTCCAAAGCAAAGGTTTGGGAGGGGGAGAAGGTACTGAGACTCATTTCTGCATGTAGGTGGTGTGATTTGGATGGTTTGAAATGGCTTTTGAGTACCTTAAAGTTTTTTGGCTCTGAGAAATGCCATCACTTTCACTACATCCCGTAAACTCCTCCTAGCCTCTGCTGGCAGACTTCCCTGGCCTCTGCGCCCTGCCTTCTGTTAGGTCCCCCCGGACACTGTGAATCAGAGGCTCTCCCAGCTCCTTGAACCACAGATGGGTTTCTGGAACAAAACATCTAAATTTCTTGGTAGGCAGATTTTTGCAAAAGTTCTTTAATCGGCACAGCTGTTTTAGAGCAGTTTTCTTTGGTGCCCAGGACATTCGGCGCGTGTTATGCTCATCGTCATCGCAAACATGCCTGTCCCTTGTCTCACTGTTACCGCAGAACGATCATGTGATCTCCGTGGATAGGGAAGGGATGCTGGTGGCGTGGGACCTCCGGGGAGTGGAGAAAACTCGGTTCCTGGCTCATCCGGGTCGAGCCAACCACTGTGCCGGCTTCAGGGATCCAAGTAAGAATAACTTGCTCAGGCTGCTTTGGAAATCTGGAAAGGGGGAAATGGGCTCTGATACTGCTGCCCCCATCACTTGACCTTGTCGTGCAAATAAATCTCAGGGTGTGCTGATATTTGGATGTGTTCAGCTTAAGGTGTTCACATGGCTGATCAGCATAAAGATCCACTTGAACAACAGAAAAACCTCTTTAGTTTGCCAGCCACTGAGTTCAGGTCACGCACACAGCTTTTGCAAGACCTTAAATCTGAGCAATTTAACTTTATATACAGCATTTCTGTCCCAGCTTTTGGCCCAGTTAGGACCACCAGGGCAGCAGTTTAAGAAGACTTGAACCTGCAGCCCTACTGAGGATATGCTAAGGTGCTGGTCTCAGTTGCTGTTGAGTTTGTGATTGTGACATCCTCCTTATTGGGGAAGACTGGTTTCCCTTTAAAAGTTCTCTTTATTTAGTTTAACAGGGTAGAATCTGCTGCCACCAGGAAATTTTAAGGATTTCCAAACCTTTATGCTTTTAATTTTACTCTTACTGGTTTGTTAGACCGAGTTCAAGGCTTACGAGGAACCATGTGGTCCTGCGAAGTATTTTTTTCAGAGCTGGTATACTTGAATGAAAGAGGATTTATTGAAATAAAACTTAAATAATAGGGTAGTACAATGTAACTAGTAATGGGTAAATACTGAACAAATGCTTTGGTATCACACACAATCTTCTCTCTCTCTGACAGGGGACTTTTCATGTAACTTTGTAACACTTGTTTATCTCAATGCCATATACATGTACTGTTTCACTCCAGTCTGTTAAGACACACAGACTTTCCTATCACTTTTCTTCACTTAAACTTTACTTTTTCCTAGACATTCAGCTTTTAGATTTCTTTCCGTTTTCACTGAACCACCTCAGCTGTCAGCTTAACTGCTTCAACACAGAACTCACTAACTACTAACTGCACATCAACTGTCAACATCTAACTGAAACTACTGACTGACTCACATACTCATCCACTCAGATTCATTTCCAAAACCCCTCCCCCTCTCTGTCAACCACCAATCATTGCCTCTTTCAACCACTCTAGTCTATCTACCACAGCCATGCAACCAAACTTTTAAAGACACACACACAGAAACAAGGAATCGTTACAGTGATGCTTCGGTGGAATCAGCCTGCAGAGTTGCGGGGAGCTGCCTTGTATAGTGCGCCTGTAGCTGCACAAATGTTTGGAACCATTTACCTTAATTTACAATCTTTTCTAAACATGATACTAAAAGAAAAGTGGCCGTCAAGTCACAAAATGCCTGATATATAATACCTGTTGTGAGTTACATTCATGGACAAGTTAAGAAGATTATCACAGGATTGTTGTTGTCAGGATGAAATGGAGGAGAACGATGCACATCGTTTTGGGTCTCCATTGGGGAGAGGGACAGAATATAGATGAAGTAAATAAAATTACCTAAAGCAAGGACGGGAAATCAGATTTTTGAAGTGGGGAGGAATTGCCTCTAAAGTGGGGATTGTCCATGGGGCTAGTCTCCTCTGTCTCCTCTCTCCTGCTATCTCCCAGTGTGAAATCTTCCTCACTCTCCTTTCAGCAGGGGAAAAAGCATTCATCTTGGCTGCTGCCGGCTCTGATGGGACCGTGAACCTTTGGAAGCCCCTGACGGTAAGAGAGGCGGCGGGGGGGTGGGGGGGTTGGTGCTGCATTGGTGCTGCGTTCCTCTTGTGGCTCATTGTTGGTTTAAACAGGGTTTTTTATTTTGGTTGATTTCCCACAAGCGCTGCTCCGCGCTCATGCCTCCCTTTTGCCCCGATGGTACATGTCAATTTCACACAAGCTGCTGCGCGGCCGCATTTTGCCTCGCAGGGAAAATATCATGAAGCTGCGGGGCAAAATGCGGTCGCGCAGCAGCTTGTGTGAAATTGACACGTGCCATCGGGCCAAAGAGAAGAGTGAGCGCGGAGTAGCGCTTGTGGGAAATCACTCTTTGTTTTCCTTTCAAGCTGCTATTACCATTGTTAAAAACACTTTCAAAGTTGAGGGGAGGGGACAGAGCTGCAATTGAATTAAAAATACTTAATTCATCTGTTGATAGAAACCTTATGTATTTCAAACTTTGTGTATTCTCTCTGGGGGTAAATTTTTATAACCCCCCCCCCCCCCCAACAAAAAAAATCAAGAGGCTGTCATTCATTATACAGGTTAGCCGAAACAGAATTACGTTCAATTTCATGCCTTAACAAGAGATGCAAACCCCTTCAGTTAAAGAAGCACACTAATTATTTATTTATTTATTATTTTGATTTATACCCGGCCTTCCCCGCAAGCAGGCTCAGGGGTACAGCCTAGCCAAACTTAAATTATTTTCTATCCCATTGGTTTCAGATTTGTGTAGCTGCTGCACTCTGCTGCTGAAGTTAACGGGACTGAAAAGAGCTTAGCTTTTGGCTGGATCTTTTGGATCTGTTCCATTAGCAGAAATGTTTTAATCCGACAATTGCTGGAAGCAGAGTAGGGAAGGATGTATGCTTGTTTTCTCAGAGCAGGTGTACTACCGTTCCCAAAAAGGAGCCCTATTCTCAGCCCTTGCATAATAGATATTATCTCTGAGGATATTTTTTTCTCCTTGTCGGCTGTGTGGAGCCATTAAAGTGCTGGACAAGACAAGAGTAGCAACGATGCCCTTCCTTAGCTGGTTTTTCCCCTCGCCTTGCCCCAAACTCTGCACCCAGAGATATGCAGGTGCATCATGGTGTCGCCCTCTTCTTCCAATTGACAGATGGAGCAACCCCAAGTCCTTTTTGGGCACTCGGCTGCTGTTTGCGGTGCTGCTGCTGTTTCTCCCACGTCTTCCTCTTTCCTGACGATAGCTAAAGACAAAACAGCCCGGCTGTGGGCCCTTCAGAAGAGAGATGGTTAGTACCTGTGTCGCTTACACAAAATCCCCTTCTGAATTCACAAGAATGCCAAAGCTCAGCTTTCCTAGCAAATGGTCCCAGGTTCAATTACTGGCATCTCCACTCCAGATTTCGGGTGTCAGGGCTGGGGGAAGTTCTCTGCCTGAGACTGGAGCCGCTGCCAATCAAAGAAGACACTGGGGTGGATGACCTAAAGGGCAGGCTGGGTTAGAATCCTCGTCACATGATCAAATGTGAGCAGACGGGGGGGGGGCTAGAGGGCATGTAGGTGGACCAAGAAGGGCACTAGGGGGCGTGTAGGGGGACCGAGGGACACCGGAATCTTAGACAATCTTCTGCCGAAGCATACAGCTTGGCTTCTTTAATTGAATTACCTGGAGGAATTCTGCAGTATTTGCTTACAGTCCGTTAGACTTGGTTCTGCTTATTATTGTGGCCTTCTATGTTGTGCAGAAGCAGTTGGAAAGTGCTTAGTTTTCTGAACCGTGCCACAGAATAGTCTCCCTTCCGTTCTTTAAAATAAAAGTTTCCTCTTCATCCGGTGGTATCCATGCCATAGAACCCGGCTCTCTTCTCTTCAAGGGAATAGTTGGTGTTCGAGACTGTTGTATCAGCGCGTCTGTCTGCCGTTGGCAGTTAGGCCTGTCAGCCATTGGTAATGGTGCCTGCCTGTAGACTGTTTCGGTCCTCTGGCTTTGGTACCAGGCAACTTGTTAAACGAATAAAGCAGGTATTTCGAGTCGGGGAACTTAGGATTCCCCACCCACCCACCCTCCGTTAGCCACACACTGCGGTCTATTAGGTCCCACCCTCTTTAGTCTTCTAAAACTCCCTAGGCTCCGCCCCTCGCCCATCCCAGGCTCTGTCCACAGGCCATGTGCTTTTAAAATCACACACGGATAAACTTGACAGTTGCTCGATCCCCGGCAGGTGGCGTCAAAGTCCTCCCGCAGCCTTGTGGGGTCATCACAGCCGTGGCCTGGTCCCCAACGGGGGAGTTTGCTGTGTCCGGTGGGGAACGGGGAGAGCTGACGCTGTGGCAGGAAGGCAAGGTGGTGGCAACAGCAAAGGTAACTTGGTGCACCAGGCGAGGGCGGTAGTGAGGGCTCCCTCTGGTGTGTGAATGGAAGAGAAGCAGGCTGCAGGGAGCAGGTGGGACGACACCCGATGCCTGCCAACAGATGAGCACAGTCTGGTATCTGAGCAAGGGTTGAGTCCCAGTGGCACCTGAAAGGCCAACAAGATCTCCAGGGCGTAAGCGTTTGAGAGTCAGAGCGCCCTTCATCACATACCAGTGCTTTGGCTCTCAAGATTCGCCATCTTTTAATATATAAGTTGTATGGTTTTATATTGATTGACATATGTTGTTAGCCGCCCTAAGCCTGCCGAATGGTGGGGTGGGCGGGATATAAATGTAAATATAAATAAAAATAAATAAAAAAGGCTTCCACCTTGGTCTTCTAAAGTGCTACCTGGACTCAAATCTTGCTCTTGTACTGCAAACCAACACACCTGTTATCTGTGTTAATCCAAAGCAAAAGTCCAAAACCAAAAACCCACTGGAAATAACCTCTTCCAGCATCAGTCAGTCAAAATGCGGCAATGTGCAGCAATGTGCAGCCCTTCCAGATTCTCCAGAACTCTTTACCAGGCTGGATGTTAAGCAAGAAATGTTGGGGAATGGGAGCAGGGTAGAATGCTAAGCAGATTTGCAAAGATGAAACGGTGCCCGGTGGAGGAGCTCTCAGGTTATATACCTCTGGAACAAAACACAAAAATGGAAGCATCTGTAAAAACTCGTAGTTGGATCAGATGTATTCAGTTGCTCTCCTCGAGTGTCCCCGGGCTGGGTGATACACTGAGTAAGGCAGTGCTTTGTCCAGAATTCTGTTCTCTCCACCTTCCAGGTTGGCTCTTGCTGCATCACCGCCTTGGCCTTCACCTCCTCCCACACGGTCCTTGTAGCCGCCGGTGGAATCAGCCTCTGGAACATAAACCCCAGTGGATGCGGAGACGGGACAGTTGGGTAAGGCCAGGCAGAGCAGCCCCCGCGTCCTGGTAGTCACCCTTTCTCGGACTTAGGGAAAGCGGGAGTCTGAGGGATCCAGTTCCCACCCCTGAAGGCTTCGATTCCCTCAGCCCTAGAACCTGCTTTGGCGTGAGAGAGCTGAGCCTCGGGAGAAAAGAGATAAGTGAAGGGAAAGAGTCTCTCTTTGCAGAGCTCCTCGTGGCCATCCACCAGGGAGAAGACGTTGATGGGGACGTTCTTCTCTGAACAGTGATCATTCGTGGAACCTAGACGTTTTCCGCACAAATGGGTCTCCCCGCTCCTGCGTCTGTATTCCTCCGCTGCTTTCTCTCGTTTCCGCAGAGGTATTGGCAGTCCGAGGAGCAAAAACGCCGTTTGCTCCCTCTTGTGGCGCAGCAAGGGAATTTCCAGAAACCGGGAAGTCTTGATGCTGCACCGCAAAAGAGGACAAACTGCGTTTTTGCTCCTCGGACTGCAAATACCTCTGCGGAAATGAGTGAAAGAGTCAGAGTAATACAAATGCAGGAGCGGGGAAACCCGTTAGTCTGGAAAACATTCAAGTCTCAAAAGATGGTCACTTTTTAAAATAAATTATGAGACAAACCATTTCAGTGGCGCCTGCAGTAGTGAAACAGAACCTCCGTGTTCAGGAACAGTGTACCCTTCTAATTGGGTGTAAACAGGGGAGGGCTATACATCCCCTTGCTTATGAGCATTCCCTGAAGCATCTGGTTGACCACAGCTGGAACCAGAATGCTCAACCCGACTGCTCCAAGTCAGCCCGGGGGATCTTTCACACAGCCAGCTCAAGGGAGAGGACTCTTTGGTCAAAAGGGGATGACTTCCGGCACCCACGGGGACCACTTATAATTCATCTTTGTGGCACTCTTCAAGGCCTGCCACATACTCCCAACCACTGCAGCATATCTTATCTTTGGCACTAAGTTTATCTTTCTCTTTCACACACACACACACACCCCGTTGCTCAGTTTGGCGCACAGGCAGCTTCTCCAGTCGGCAGCGAAGCCTTCGGTGCTCTGCGCTTGGACGCCCCATCCGGGTGGATCTGTAGTCCTAGGTCTGGCCGACGGAGCCTTTTTGCTGCTCGACCCCAAAGCCAAGGATTTCTGGAACAGCAAGTGAGTGGGAGAGAAGGGGCTCTCGGGGGAAGAGGGGGTTGGGAAATAGCCTGCTTCACTGTTCTTCCTTCTCACTCCCCCAGGAGCAGAGAGGAGTTGTGGGAGTTTGGTGACGAGGAGTACTTTGACGTCTCTGCATCCGAGGAGGGCATCCTTCGTCTCTGGTTCTCCACGGATACACTTAGCTTGTTCAAAATGGTGAGCAGCTGCTGCAGCCGGAAGCCAGGGGTCCCCCCAAACTCCGAAATTGCCGCAGGCTCTTACACACATCAGGTTCCTTCTGCCTCCTGAGCCTGTTCCTGCAGCTGTCGGCCAGATCAAAGCCCTCCCACACGTGAAGCCGCCTTGCCCTGAACCAGACCCTTGGCCCATCCAAGTCCGTATATGGTCTTCCCAGACTGGCAGCGGCTTTCCGAGGTCTCAGGCAGAGGCCTTTCGCATCACCTACCGCCTGGTCCTTTTAACCGGAGACGCTGGGGGATTGAAGCCGGGACCTTCTGCATGATGGGCCGAAGCTCTGCCACCGAGCCGCAGCTGCTTTCCAAGAACTGGGATGGAGCCAGCCAGCTTTTTTCCCTCTTCATCCCAGCCCACGGCACAAGTGGCATTTCCCCATACTCACCCCATTGATCCCCAGCATACCCTTTTTGGGTGGTCAAAAGGGGGACGGTCTCCCTATTTCACCAGCAGGAAAACCGGTTGGGTCCCTTTTCCGGCCAGTCCCTGCCTCCCATTTCCAGGAATTCTGCTTATCTAAAGCAGATCCTAAAGTGAGCTTCCTGCGGTGAAGCAGTTGCCAAAGTCGGATTTCATCTGTCAGTGGTGCTCGGCTGAACAAGAGCTGCATGGGGAGGAGGTGGCCTGATCTCCTTTCCTCACCAGACTTGCACCCCCTCCTCTTTTTGTATCGTAGAAGATTATCGAGTCGGGGAAGATGGCACACGAGTGGAAGACGGAGGTCATACAGTGGGAACAAAAAAGGCCATCGGTCTGGGTCACCGTGGCTCGGCTGGTCAAGGGTGAGGCCAGGGCGAGATCTTTTCTGTCTGGGGACATGAGCCCTGAATGGCTCCTAGGGGAGAGGGCGCGTCTGCTCAGACAGCTTCCAGGTTCCTTTTGAAATGCGAGTTCGCCCCGCCCAGCAGGAACATAATAGGCCACACCCAACAGCAGAAACTCATTAGGACTGGCTACATTAGGGGTGTGTGGCCTAACATGCAAAGGAGTTCCTGCTACAAAAAAGCCCTGGGTTTTGACAACAAACAAGGTAAACAGAATAAGAAGCAAAAGGTGGGTGTGGCTGGATAACCACACTTCTGGTAACATCGGGGAGTGGCCTAATATGCTAATGAGCTGTGCTGTCAGGGGTGTGGCCTAATATGCTTATGAGTTTCTGCTGTTGGGTGTGGTCTATTATGCTAATGAGTTCCTGCTGGGCTTTTTCTACAAAAAGAGCCCTGTGAGTTTCTATTCATGGTGGAGACACGCCAGACACTGTTGTTGTTTTTTTAAGACTCCCAGAGAAGTCTGCCTTTGGGAGTGAACACGTGCACTTTTAAAACCTGGGAGCTAGATACGTGCTTCTCCTGACATGATTCAGGAACTTGGTCCTACAGCTGTGAAGTCATTAGGAAGCATATCCAGGAGATGGATTATTTGAGTACATGTTTTTGTGCCAGCAGGGCTTGTTCTTCCTTATCTTTTGCAACCCTTCCATTAGTCTGTCCCAAATTACTTTAGTGCTTTTTTAATTGATTTGGCTAAAACCCCACCCGTTATGAGTGGTGGATTAACAAGGACCCCCTTTTCCAGAGCGTTTGTGTGACTGTTCTTTAGGGAAGATTGGTACGTTGGTGCATTTTTTATTGGAATGCCCCCTGTATGCCACACCCAGGAACCAATTCTTAAAGTACAATTTGGACCAGTGTTCCCTCTAAGATGAGTTAGTGTGAGCTAGCTCACAGTTTTTTAGCCTCCAGCTCACACATTTTTTGTATCAGCTCAGGAAGGATGGCTCCAGAGCAAAACGATTTATGCAGCAGCCAAATCGCTTGCTCACAACTTTAATGTCAGTAGCTCACAGAGTAGAATTTTTGTTCACAAGACTCCACATCTTAGAGGGAACATTGATTTGGACAATATTTCCTTTTAAACCCACTATAAGATAATCTCACTCCCTTTTATCCGATAGATCTCCTAATATTATCCTCACTGTCACTAAATTTTCTGTATTGTTTGGGTATGAAATCTCGACGATGACGTTTATCAGAGGGGGAGGGTGCATGACCTCTCGAGAGATTTGGTCAAAAGAGCTTTAATCAGAGGAGAGGAATACGTGCTCCGACCTGGACGGCCCATGCTCTCCTGATCTCGTCAGTGGCTACGCAGAGGCAGGCAATGGCCAACCCACCTCTGTTTGTCTCTTTCCTTGAAAGCCCTGTTGGGTCGCTATAAGTCGGCTGTGACTTGACAGTAGTTTCCACCGCCAGATACGCAGTCGGGTTCTTAAGTGGGAGGCTGGCTGTCAGTTTCGCACCAGCCCTGTGTAGGACTGCAGGGGGTGACTGGCATTGCATGCGCTGTTGGCTGGTTACGGGGCAGATCCAGATGAAGGGCACGGGCGGGAAAGAAAGAAGTGGGCAGAAGGTGACATCAGTAATGCTTGTCTCCTTTTACAACAGATAAGTTCTTGTTCTTCGCGGACACTGAAGGAGCCCTGTGGACTCAGACCCGGCAGCAGCAGGAGGGAGCGGAGAACCCCGACTCCCAGTGGGTGCTTGACAGGCAGCAGAGGAGAAAGGTGAGGGGGAAGCAGCTGTGCTGGATGGGATAAAGGGACCCAGGATGGGGATTGGAGCATATTTTGAATCCTTGACTGCTTTGGGGCGTGGTCCCCTTATGGAAACCTCGCCTGGACTTCACTGAGACTGCTGATGGGGGTTAGGACATATGTGCCAGGCTGCATCTTCAGTTTTCACTGGTACCTGACTTTGCTGTTTCGGTACCTAGATCCCGATGCTTGTTCCACATATTTTTGATGGGCTAAAGCTGTCCTCAGGGCCTTTTGCATTCACCTTGCAAACTTAAGTGTTTCTGAACATGCCTTTCTGTATTTTAAAGTGTGGGACTTCCTTCACCAGGGTACCACAAGTGGGACCAAGCCATCTTTTATCTTTTTTTTAAAATGGTCTCTGTGCCCATCCAGCATATTACTTGCCTATTTGTAGCCATTTCAGCCTTGTGTCTATTGTTTTCTTAGATTCACAACAACAAAATTACAGCTCTCCATATCCTTGGAGACAAGATTGTAACAGCATCCCATGACCGGGATGTGAAAATCTGGGAGAGCAGCACAATGAAGCTGGTAAGTGACCCCAAGGGGGACCAGCCCCTTTATCACTGCACAGGTTGCATTTTTAGAGTATCCCCACCAGTGCAACATAGGATTGCGGTTTCCAGGGTTCTTTGTAGGAAGTTACACATAGGGGTGTGCAATACACACACACACACACACACACACACATATATATATATATATATGGGATTTAAACTTTAAATGCTTACCGAGTTATGCCATTGTGGCAGCAGTCTCTTTAAATGTCGTCTAGCCATGCCCAAATAAAAGCCGAATAATATCAGCTTTTATTCAGGCATGGCTATTTAGGTAGCCAAATACAGAGCTTTGATCTGTATTCAGCTCAGTATATACCAAGTGCACACCCCTAGTTATATATAATGCAATCCTTTAGGTTTGCCCTTTACCCACCTCTCCTCTGTACCAACTATGCCTGGGGGCTACCTCAGGAGGACCAAGCCATCTTGTCCTATGGCTGTCGTGGAAGGACAGCCCATTTACCTTGTGTGTCCATCCTTGCTCTCTCCCTGTTTACTTTCACCCAAGATCTGGTCTGTACCACTTCAGTCTGCAGCAGGGCATACTCATACAGTGTCCATTTAAAAAAAAAACACCCTGCCTATAGAAACTAGCACATCAAGAAAACTAGGTTACAAGTCTCTTCCCTCTGCTACTGAGTTTTCTATACAGATAGAATTGTTGTAATGGAGGAAATTCACTTCTGTACGACCCCGCCATCACCTGCAACGGTGGCTAACACTAAGTCCTGTTCAGATCCAGGTTTTATCATCTGGCCACATTCTCTTCCCTCAGTCTTGCCCCTGTCCTTATCCCGCATATCAATTTGTTTTGTCTGGGCTACAGCTGGGTCAGTTCCGATGCCACGCCCCCATCTCCCACCTTGAACCTTGTCCTCTGTTGGACCCACCTCTCTTCCTCATGGGCGACACCCTGGGCAACATCTACTTCCTGGAGTGGAGCAGCCTCAGCGGTTGAGAGGGAGGAAGAGACGCTCCAGCTTTATCTGCCTCGCATGAGCTACAATTCCGGCTGACGACTGCATTCCGGAGCCAGCCATTCCGTGCTTCCAAGTTGGAAGGGTGAACGTAAAACACATTCAAGTCCTGCATCTTGGTTGATTTGGTGGTGCGTTTTGTGTTGGGGCCAAACAGCTCGAGAACAAAGATGAGATGAATAAAGTTAATATGCTGAAAGCAGCAGTGGTGGAAATGTTTGGTCTCCGACTGCTGCAGTTCTTAGTGTCGGGTTTGTGCCTCGTTGTTCTCCTGCCTGTGGCCTGCCTTGGTTTAGCTTGTGTGGAGAGTAGAATGGCACTGTAGGAAACTGATGTGCTAGTGACCGATTATATGAATGGGGTTGCCTTGCAGTCAAAATGCAATAAAGTCTACAGCAATCGATGGGCAGATCTTAACTAAACCTTGCATTTTTGCAGGGCTTTTTTGTAGTTGTTCTCCCTGATAATTAGTACTGGCACCTTGGAAGATGGGAAACTGGCAGAACTCTGTGCAGCCTTATCAGTACCAACACTTTTTATTTTAACCAGGTTTTAAAATAATATTGCCCCAATGCAGGAAAATTCAGGACATAACAAGCAAGAGAAAAAGAGAAGACCTTCCAGTCTTTTTGAAATAAGTCTCCTCATCTGCCCTCACACACACACCACAGGGCCCATTTCTGACAGCCAGCTGCTAGCAGGAGTCCAATTCTAAGTCCAGCAGCTTAGATCACGTTTTACTGAAGCAGCAATTTGTGGCATTTTTAACCCACCTTCCCCCCCAATGAGGACTTCAGGTGCTCTCTTAAACTGTGTCAGAGGAACGTCAATCAGCAGCAAGGGGTTGATCCTTTTAAGTCTCCCTCTAGCTGAAGGCACTCAAAAAGGCGGGAAAAGAATCTGTCTTCCTTCCGTCAGTCTTCACCTGCCCGCTCTCACCAGAGCTGAGTAAAATTGAAGTGCACCTTGAGGAGATACCTCATCCGCACCTGCTGCGGGTCATAGACGATGAATTCATTGTAGTTCAGGGTGTAGCCGTGGGGGTTTACCACACCTGTCTCCCCGACTGGACCCATAGGAACAACAGCCTCATGCCTGCCCATGAAGGAAAGAGGGGAAAAACATATCACACAATTAGGGTTGCCAGCCCCCCCCCATGGTTTGTCAGGGGTCCCCCGCTTTTGGGGAGCTTCTACCTGCCGCCGCAGGGGGAAGCCCCGCCTCCAAGCCCCAACACCCACCGCCACTCCCCTCCCTCCTCACTTGAGAGAGAAGATGGAGAGGGGTGGCTGCAGGCCACACACCCAATCTCATCGGGCGCGCGGAAACGCCAGCTGCCTACAGTTAAAGGGGCCCCTTTAACTGCAGGGAGCCGGCGCACTGGAAGAACAGGCGGGTGGGGCGGGTAAATATCCCCAATGTGACATCATCACTTCGGAGATGCCCCACCCCCTCGGACAACGCCCCCCCCCCCAAAGTCCCCCGCTGGGGGGGAAGATGGCACTTGGCAACCCTATAAACAATGCTTGAGGCAGCTCTCAAAGTAAAAACAATACAAAGTAATACAAAGTAAAAACAATACACCATAAGAATTATCAGTCAGGGGCATTACAAACTTCCAGGAGTCTAAAACGCCAGCTCAAAACAGCCCTCAGGGTAGACGCGGAGGGAACCCCTCGCTTAAAAGCCTAGGTGGAAATAGAACGTTTTGGCCTAATGCTCGAAGGACAGTTAAGGGAGGCAACAGATGAGCCTCAAGGGAAAGGTCGTTTCAAGGACAAGGTGCCAGCAAGGAAAAGGCCCTGTTTGGTTGGCATCTGTCTCACCTCACAGGCAGGGGCAGAAAGAGCAGGATTTATGGCACAAACGTTCTTCACGAGGGCCACAAGTATGAACACGGCTAAGGTGCATCAGTTCATCTGTTCCTTCTCTTATAACCAGAGTGCTAAAATTGTGAGCGTTCTCTTGCATTCATGCTGTGTGTTTTTGCTGTGAACTCACTGTCTCTCTTCAGTGACAGAAAGTGGCGGTAGTGGTTTAGCTGTGCAACAGTAATGTTTAATAACGAGACAGAAAAGAGGGGTGCAGAAGCAGGCGGCTTTTGCCACATACCACGTATCTCCCCTCAACACACAAAATGTATGCCTATACGGTCTATATCAAGCAGTGTACAGGGCGTCTCCTTCACAGCACTGTGCTCAGTCTCCATTAGCAAATGAAACGAAAAGCCCAAGGCACTCCTGGCACAGTGGAAATCTTGCTCAATCCCTACTTTGGCCTCCAGATCTAAGCATTGTTTAGGTTACATCTGATTTCTCGAGAAGTAGAAACAGTTGCATTTTAAAACTTGATATAGTCGCAGCAGTTCCCCCCGCCCCTCCCAAATGCTGCTCCTTCCCGGGAAAACTCACAGAGTGGTGCTGTTGGCCGGGGCCAGCTTGCCGAGCCCTTTGGTGCTGTGCTTGTGGGGCGGCAAATTCACGGCTTCGGGATTTGCCTCCAGCAGTTCGTTGCATTCGCCCAGAGCCACCTGCAAGGGGGACAGAAGGCGAGTGCGGATTTCACGAGCGTAAGGCCCTCGAACACCTTAAGCTGAACACGTGAACGGTGTCTGGGCAATTATCGTAATTCATGGGGCAACGGGAGGGAGGTGGAGACAGGAAAACTGTGCAGGCCAGAAGACGACAGCTAGATTGGAGGTGGGCGTGTCCATGAGCCACTGTGACTCTTCCCCCCCCCCCCAGAAGCTCGGGAAGGGCAGCGGGTCTCACCTCTGAAAGCAAGAGTAGGCCAATGTCTCTCTCACGGGTGGCGAAACAGTAATTGGCGCTCTTAGAGGACATGTCAGCAAAATAGATCCTTTTCCCAAACTGGGGAAATAGAGAGAGAGACATGGCCATGAAGACGGGGACAGCCGCAGTGTGAACAGATCCAAGAGCAGGGGAATGTGGGAGACTCACCATGTAGCCTGTGACGGGAGCCTCGGGTGGTGCCACTCGCAACCCCTGGCTCAAAATCCCGGCCCAGTTTCCCAGGCGGGATCCGTGCCACAGCAGCATCCTGAAGGGGGAAGGAAGGACCGGAGATGACACGTCCAAGTATAGGCCTTTTCCTACCTTCTGCTCCACCCATTCAAACATGGAAGCTGCCTCATACTGAATCAGACCACCAGTCCATCAAGGTCAGTCTTGTCTACTCAGACCAGCAGTGGCTCTCAGTTCTTCGGTTGAGGTCTTCCACATCACCTACCCCCTGGTCCTTGTACCTGGAGATGCCGGGGATTGAACCTGGGACCTTCTGCATGCCAAGCAGAGGCTCTTCCCCCTGAGCCACAGCCCCGCCCCACTCACCGGTTGGGCAGGTCAGAGCGGAAGGCGGAACTGCCCTTGTCCAGCACGAAGGCCTCCAGGAGGGTCATTGTGTAATCCATGTGGGTCGGGGCATGGGTGGACAGCAGGTATCGCTCTAATACCTGAGAAGCAGAGAGAATTGAAGCCACGGAGTGGGACCCACTCCCCAAAAGGTCTTTCCGAGCAAGGGCAGGGTCCCCCCTCCTTGCTCGCAACCCACCCGGAAGTTCAGGGCGTCCCGCTCCAAGGGCTGCAGTTGGCAGCTCAGTCTGCAGTAGCTCTGGTCCAGCGGGTGCTCCAGGGCCAGTTGCTGTGACTGCACCAGCTTGATGGCGATGCAGATCTCACCCAGGGCCTCGGGGGGCAAAAGCAAGCGAATGACAAACCAGCCTCCGCTGCCAGGAACCCCAAACTGAGAGTCCAGAGGGGAGGAGAATCCCCCCTTCAGCCAGTCTGGGGCCACAGGCTCACTTTGCAGTCTCAAGTTACTACCATCCACAGGCCTTAATGGGTTAAAAAAAACCACCAATATTTTTAATAAGGGGTGACGGCTGTTAGATGTGAAGCAACTGTGCCTCAGAACATAGGAAAAGTGGCCTTTCTTTTAACCCCAAATAACAGGCGACTGTCCACATAAGGAAAGAGCTGCCGCACGGAACAGTAGCTGTGAATTCCACCATCTTTCATTGAAGAAATAAATCCCCAACAAGTTATCTTAAAACGATACTATTTTGCAGGGCCTAGGTTCTTCACCCCACAAAAAAATGTCTATCATTTGTATGAGAATAGAGCCCCCCCCAGCTCTCAGGGAGGGTGGTCTACCTGCAAGAGAGGCTTCATAGGCTCCGACCCACTCCCCTATCCCCCACTGGTGGCCACCCTGGTCTGCAGGCCAAGACTCCATTAGGTATGAGAGCAGAGGCTGGTATAGAATTTGGCAAACTGATGGTGTGTAAGCGTGCCTAACCCTAGTGGTACAGGGGTGGAGAGATGATGAGTCACTGCAAAACAGCAAACACTGAGCTAGAAACTACAAAATCTCCCTGCCAAACCCAAACGTTCTCCTCATCTTATTGCTCAAGGTGGAACATGAATAACTTTGGAAACGATCCCCTGACAAAGCGAACTGTGAAAAGCGTAGGGATCCACAAGTACTAAATAAATATTTTTTCACCTTGCACCTGTTTTGCTACATTTTTTCCTCCAAAGAAGTAACACTCAGAGATGACGCTAATTCTTAAGGGTGTTTAAAGCCAGTCAACACTTCTTCTGACATTTGGACTGCCGTAGCACTCGCTGCACTGCCCAGAAATTGCAGTGAAGGTGAGATGGAGGCTTGACTGCGAGACAGTAGCACAAAGACCATCCACACTGCACAGAGATTGTTCTGCTGTTCCACAATAAATCAGTTTCAGGAAAGACGGGGAACGGAACAGGGTCAGAACAGAAGAACATATCATTTTTTAGTACATTATCTTGACCACAGTTATAACTGGGTGTTTGAATCATGGTGCTTGTGCCCAGAGGTGGAAGAACCGGCAAGACTCAAGAACTTGTAAACATTTTTTTAAAAAATTGTTGAAGAGGTTCCAGAACTATGATATTCTATCTAATAGAATATTCTATCTAATAGAATATTCTATCTAATAGAATATTCTATCTAATAGAATCCGGTGCATTCCCCACCCCACCACCCCAAAAAAGCCCTGCTTGTGCCCCATTCGAGTGTGTGGAACCGTCCTTGGTATCAGAGATTCTTTTGTATTTTGTGACCGTGGTGTACAGCTTTTATACTCTATTACTGTGGTACTTGGGTCGGGTCCATCCAGCTTTTCTGCTGCTGAAAAAGGAAAAGGGGAGTCACTTTTGGCCAATAAAAAAAGGCTGTGCTGGGGATGGACAAGGCCCAAATGGACAAAAGCCAGACAGGATAGGAATTGGAATGGAGCAACAAGTGGGAAGAGAGGGCAATTGGGTGAGATTGAGGCTAAATGAGGTGTTTCCCCTGACACAAGTCAGGCTGTGGGCCTGTGTTCTTTTCTTACAGACAGACATGAAGTCGGGAACTAATGTTCTCATGCACTTTGGTGGCTGAGTCAGCAGGGGGATTTAATAGGGTTGCTAACCTCCAGGTGGTGCCTGGAGGTCTCCTAGAATTACCACTGATCGCCAGATGACAGAGATGAATTCCTCTGGAGAAAACGGAAGGTTCAGAGGGCAATATCTAATATCATAGATTCTAGGTGAAATCCCTCCCCAAATTCCTGGCTCCACAGACACTTCTCCCAAATGTCCAGGAATTTCCTGGGCTGGAGATGGCAACCATTGAGTTCAGCATGCAGGGAGGAGGGAATTCAGCATTCTTTCATTCTTTCCTGTGTCATTTCCCCAAGCTGAAGGTCTCTCCCACACAAGCTGTGTTCCCAAGCCAAATCGGGGCCCAGCACACTTGGGAATGTCAGATATCCAAGAACTGTCTGGGCTGGTCCTTTTATTGTCTGTAAAAAGAACACCGGTTGGGAAAGCCCCAGCTGAGCTTGGGGCAGAGGTACTGCCTGGTTTAGCCCTCTAGATATTTGGGTATATCATTGATAAATAGTGTTACACATTAAACACTATTTGTTGGCACACAACCTTGAAAAATGCACTTGTTTTCCAAGAAAAATTCAACACCAAGAAACAGAAAATAGGGCAAAAATAAAGACCTGCGGGTTTGATTCACCCAAGGGAGACATGAAATTGAAAAGAGGATTTCTGGACTGATAGAGCCGAGATGAGAAATCCAAAATCAGCCTTATATCAAAGTTCTCTATGGCCACCATTCCACCCCAACCCTTGCCCCTTATTTCTTCTTATTGCCCCTCCTGTCCAGTGACCTCTGCTCTACCACCCTTGGCTACCTGAACATTTCCAGTCACACCCATCCATTCACATTTACTACCTCCTACACTGGGAACTCCCTTCCAGAATTCATACAAAGTTCCACTTCTGCTTCCTTGAGACCCAATTGCCTGCATACCCTTTGGCTTCCTTCCTTCACCTTCATTCCCGGCTACTGCTTCTTTCTCTTTGCTTCTCTCCTTTCCCCAATTGTCTGCTGCATATTTTATAAGTTCCTTGGGGGCAGGGACCCGTCTGTTTATTGTCCATGAAGCTCTGTAAGGTGCCATAGATGGCAGGCAGGTCTTCTGCTCTTGACAATTCCCACTGTTCCCCATCAGAGCTTCAAAGGTCAGTGGCGGGGGGATCGGGGGGGGATGCATTGGCATCATGCTCCAGCATGTAAGGTCCTTTCCAGCAGAACACAACAACAGAAGTGACGTGCTGCCAGGCGTGATGCTCTAGAATTTGGATGTCATGACATTGGAGTGATGCTCTAGAGATTCGCACAAAATTCTACATTAGAGTTCTGGCAAATCCCAGAGTGTCGCCCCCAACATCATGATGTCACTTTTGGTTTTTCACACAGCGGTGCACCTGTCCCCACCCTCCCGGTCTTCTCAGTGGGTTTCCAGGCCTCAACCCTAAGTCCCTCTATAATATTGAGTAGGCTGCATAAGCAGTAAGCAATTATAATGACCATTCCAGCCCCTAGGGATGCCAGCTGGCCTGGAGGAAAAAAATTGTTCTATCCCTTTGATAGAGCTTTAATTTACCTCCAGGCAATGAAAAGTTTCAGCTAACCCAACCTTAATTGTCAACATAATGTGTCATACTAGCTGGAATTCTTTGTTTTGTCTAACTTTTTACAATGTTAATTTCTGTAAAATAAAGTGGTTTGAAGCCGTAAAAGCTTATCTACAATGAATTTGCAGGTCTTTAAAATGTTGCAGCGCTCTTTTGTTATGTTGGCTGTGATGGAGTAACATTGCTTCAGCAATGACAGTTGTCAGAGTTACACGCAATAGAAAGAAAGGAAATACGCCTTATGTAATTAACTATTCAACGGTGTAAAAAGACAAACCAGCTACTGGGCTACATATAATTCTTCATCAGGCCCGATGGAAAACCACTTGCAAATTCTTAGCCATTCATTGTTAGAGTTGCCAATAGGCCTGGAGAAAATGTCCTGGCCCTTAATGTGTGGCAAGTCCAATGTTCCCTCTAAGCTGTGGAGTCTTGTGAGCAAAAATTCTACTCTGTGAGCTCCTGGCATTAAAGTTGTGAGCGAGCGATTTGGCTCCTGCATAAATTAGCTTGCTCTGGAGCCCTCCTTCCTGAGCTAAGGCAAAAATGTGTGAGCAGGAGGCTAAAAAACTGTGAGCCAGCTCACACTAACTCAGCTTAGAGGGACCACTGGTGGCAACAGGCAGGGAGGTAAATAAAATCCCATTTAGACTCTATTAATAGGGTAGTAGGACTCCCCCCCCACACCTCTTTACGGCAGACTTCCTGTTTATGACAGAGTTTATGATCACCAGGTGAAGCTTTCCCCATCCTTGCATTTACCTGCTGGAAAAAGCTTAACTTTCCGGGTTTCTGTTTACTCCTAGGCACAGAAAGCCTAGCAGGGGAAAGGTTGGCCGGCCCCAGCTGAGAGAAAGGGCAGCTACAGACACAGATATGCATAGGGGCTGTAGCCCATCCACAAAGGGTCCTCCCTCCGACTTCAAAGAACCTCCGTGTGCCAGGGCGGGTGACCGAGAGGTGTCATGACCTTAGCTCTTCCGGTCTGCCTATATTGCCCTTTCTATTTACCAAAGAAATGACATACATTTGACCTCTTGGGCAAGTCCTTCAGGGTGATGGACAGCATCCAACAGGTTGTGTATAACCCCATCCGGTTAATTTGTGTTTATCTGTGTCTGGAGCAGAGCCCTCAATTGCAGGAGGAAATGGGGTTCCTATACATAATGTCCCACCCTGCCGAAATCTGTAGCTCATCCTATCAAGGTGAATATCACTCCATCTCAAAACCAACCTGCAGTTTAAAGATGGAGTGCTTGTGGAGCTGGAGGTTCCATATAACTTTAACCAGTTCCATCCAGGCATTCAGCTGGCCAGGTACCTACTAGAAGCTTACAGTCAGTGGCACAAAGAGGAGGAGGAGGAGACTGGATTTATACCCCGCCCTTCACTCGGAGTCTCAGAGCGGGTTACAAACTCCTTTCCCTCCCCCTCCCCACAACAGACACCCCATGAGGTAGGCGGGGGCTGAGAGAGCTCTTGACAGAAACTGCTTCTGAGAGAACAGCTCTGACAGAACTACGGCTTGCCCAAGGTCATCCAGCAGCTGCAAGTGGAGGAGTGGGGAATCAAACCCAGTTCTCCGGGATAAGAGTCTGCGCACTTAACCACTACACCAATCTGCCTCTCCCCTGGTGATTTCTCTCTCCTGTTGCTTAGCCCCAGCACCTGGTTGATTGATTGATTGATTGATTTGGCCATGTGGGGATGGAGGTGCCCCAGCATCTGCTCCTCGTTCTGAGTGCTGACTTTCGACACTGGAAGAACGAAAGACCTGCGTCAGTTTCGTGTCCTGTTCGGAATCCGTTAGTTGAATTGGGCGAGGAGGGGGTGGAGACGGAACAAGCGAAGCGGATCCGAACAGAGTTACCGCTTTGGATGGGGTTTTGTCAGAGGAGCTCTTTTGTTTCATGGGAATGTCGAGCATTTCAGCACAGATCGGTTGGCATCGAAATGGCCCATTGACGGGAGACCACCGTACAGCCGTCGATCCCGATGCAGGGGTCGACATGGAGGTGTGTTCAGAAGTCTCTTGTGACGATGCCATTGGCGAAAGAGCCACTTCCAGTAGAGCCACAGGAAGTCTAGCCGCTCGAATCCTCGTTTGCGGAGAGAATTTCGCACAGTGGGCACAGGAGTCAACTCGGTGCGATTCCCCCAGGCACAATAAACAAAGGGAGTGTCCGTCAGGGGGGCGATTTTACTACCACACTTCCAGCACCTTTTTAAAAAGCCCCACTGTTTGGCCATAGGCCGGGGGGGGGGGGCAGAAAAATATGCCGAAGCAGAAATAAAGTCCAAAGTACCTAATGAACACTAAACTAAAAAGTCCAAGAATGAAGGAGAGAAAGCCAAAAGCCAAATTTTTTACAGACCGAGGCGTAGGAGATCCTACTAGCGTGGCGGTCAGAAGAGAACTGGCGGGATCGTTGTGCCCCTCCCCTGTCGTGCGCACTGGAGCCCGGCACGTGACTGGGGAGTGGCCGCAAAAATCCCTTTTAGCTTTCTACAATACCGATCGGGGTCGGCGCAGGCGCACTATATCCCAGAAGTGTGATGCACAGAGACCACGAAGAAGATTATGTAATGCCAGGTACCGGAGATATACATTTATAAAGGAAACAGGCAAACCCAATTAACAATATTATTATTTTATTCAAAATACAAAAGCAATTGATTCCTAGGAGTGAAAACAATTAGTGTACTGGGGAATCCACAAAACCCCCAATAAAGGTATTTAATCATCTGTAAGACTATTCTGAGGGTTACCATCCCCCCCCCCACAGCCATTCCCTTTCATTTCTTAACAGCAATCTTAATTCCCGCTTGTGATTCATCCAGACTGGCATTTTGCATGATGTACTCTGCATATAAATTAAATAAGTAAGGAGACAATATACATCCTTGTTGTACTCCTTTCCCTATGCTAAACCAATCAGTTGTTCCCTATCCGGTCCTAACTGTCGCTTCTTGACCCTTATACAGGTTTCTCAAGAGATGTGTGAGGTGGTCTGGTACTCCCATCTCTTTAAGGACTTGCCATAGTTTGTTGTGATCCACACAATCAAAGGCTTTAGTGTAGTCAATGAAGCAGCAGAAGTAGATGTTTTTCTGGTACTCGCATGCTTTATTCATAATCCAGCGACTGTTGGCAATTTGATCTCTAGTTCCTCTACCTCTTCGAAACCCAGCTTGTACTTCTGGCAGTTCTCTATCCACGTACTGCTGAAGCCTAGCTTGTAGGATCTTGAGCCTGACCTTGCTAGCCTGTGAAATGAGTGCAATTGTGCAATAGTTTGAACATTCCTTGGCATTGCCCTTCTTTGGGATTCTTTGGGATTTTCCAATCCTGTGGCCACTGTAGAGTTTTCCAAATCTGATGGCAAACTGAGTGCAGCACTTTAGCAGCAGCATCTTTTAAGACTTTGAATAGCTCAGCTGGGATACCATCACCTTCACTAGCTTTGTTGTTGGTAATGCTTTCTAAGGCCCTGTCATGATCTGTGTGCAGAACTGGGAGCAGGGCATGGTGCGGCCTGGTCCCAGGAGAGACCTGCATGGCAGTGAAAACAGACAGCCTACAGTCTCCATAAGGCTTAATAATGGGATATAGCCAATGGGAGTTAAAAAGATTCTGTGAGGAGAGTCTGTGCTATTCCTAGAATAGGAAGTAGATACAGTGACAGGGGATGTAACCCTAATTCTTCCTCTTGAGGATGGTACAAACCAAGGGTCCCAAATCTGGTTGAGCCTGTGAGCATGTGGGATTTTGAGAACCGAGTAGGCGACACAGTACAAAATGGCTGCCATGGTGAGCACAGCCTACTCCATTCAAGTGGAAGAAACCCAGGACTGGCTCCTTGTTTTATGAGAGATGGAAGTGGAGATGTGAAGACGGATGTTATTGGCATAATTTCCCCTTTCCCCTTTTTTCCTTTTTGTCTGCTAGCTGGCTTTTAACTGCCCTCAAAATCCTTTGGCTTCTGGTGACCAGTAAGAATGCTCAGTGCTCACTGAACCTTTATTTTTCTTTCCCCCCCCTTTTCTATATTTATCAACAAATATATTTTTTTCCGATGGACCGTGGGTTTGCTGTAGCTTGTAGAAACCTCTGCCTTCTCTGTAGGTGGCCGTGACCGTGTCTCACAGATGGTTATGGCCCTTCATGTTTGCTGTTAGAAGCAGCGTTAAGAACAAAATAAAAGGTAAAGGTAAACACACAAATATTATCTCAGCCCCACCTACCTCACAAGATGTCTGTTGGGAGGGGAAGGGGAGGAGACTGTAAACTACTCTGAGACTCTGAGTGAAGGGCGGGGTATAAATCCAATCTCTTCTCCTTCTCCTTCCCAGGGACTTCTGTTTAGCTCCCTCCCGCCTGGCCTACAGCATTTCTGGCTACAATCCTGGGAGGGGGCATTCCCACAGACCCATCAAGGAACATTTTAAGCCTTGAAGTGCCTAATAGATAAAAGCACCAAGGGCCACGGTGATCCCATGAAATATCGTAAGTATGATAAATATGGATCTGTAAACAGTTGGTTTAAATTAAATATGGATCTGTAAACAGCTGAGTTGCGCACAACTTTCCAAACATCCTCTGTTCCAGAACAGAAGGTGCCATTGCCTGCAACTATTGCCTGTAAACATGAGATACAGTTACCCGTGTTTCATCTACTGCTTTCCTGCAGGTGTCTGAGCATCTGGTTGTGGATCCCGTAAGCTCTATGGATCCCTCTGCTGTGGGCCGTGCTGGCTCCCTTTGCATGGAGAACCCCTTCCTTCACGCCTCGTCTCCCGCTTCGTTCACTCTCCAAAGTCTGGGGGAGTCCCAGGCACGTCTCTTGCAGCCTGTTACTCCTTCTGCTGCGTGGCTCGCTTCAATGAAACCTCCCAACACCAAGAGCCAGGCCTCATCGGACCACCTGTCAAAACCTTCTGCTCTGAGCGTCTTGGATTGCAGGTGCCCCAGCTGGGTCCCTGAGCAGGTAAAGCTGAGCCCGTGCTTAACAGTGCTTTTTTTTTTTTTAAGCCCTGATATAGAGTGACTAATGCAGATGTCTGTATGACCCATGATAGGTTTAGTCACCTGGCCTCCTTGTTTTTCTTTCCCGAAGGAATCTTGGGAAATATTGCTTTGGGAGAGTGCTTTTGTAAGTGAGCCACACCTGATCATAAAACAGCCATCTGGGGAGTTGTTTAGAGAGGGTAAATGGCTCAGCCCAGGTGTAATTCAAGCCAAGCTTTGCTTAATTGATTATCTCTGAGTCTCAGGAAACTGTTGTGGGTGCAGTAGATGCCATCGATTCTGTGTGTGAAGTCGGCCTCTGGAAAGCAGATCGTGTCCAGAGAGAAACGACAGAGGATGGTGACATTCCTGAGGAGAAAATGATACCAGAACATCGCTCAAAGCAAAGCAAATCCATGGTGAGGGTTCCATCCTGGAATTTTGGTGTCACAGCCTGGTCTTCTTATTTCAGCTTAACAAATGCACTTAGAAGCCCTTAACATCTTCCTGTACCATTCACACAAAGTGAGGTCCCGCTGCTTCTGTGTACGAGTACATATTACAGGAAGAAGGGTGTGCTCTTCCCAGAATTCCTGTCTGCGCCACAGGGAGTATGACTGGCTACCTCTGGTGTAAGGGAGCGAAGCCGTGATGAAATCTGGGTTATCCCTGTATGTCTTCCTAATTGTGGGGAGAGAACAAACTTACGTATTCCTGTTGTTAAAATGCTTGTGTGTAGTACAGAAGTAAGGTGTACTTACTGGAGAAGTGTGCATGCACATGGAAGCTTATACCCAGAATTCAACTTTGTTGGTCTTAAAGGTGCCGCTGGACCAACACGGCTACCCACCTAATTCTGACTTCTTGAATTATCCTTACAGAAGCACCAAATGCTATTTGTGTCTGCACTTTGTCCATCACTGTTGGATGTATAGAAGCTGCTTTATACCAAGTCTGGCTCATTATTGTCTGCTCTGATTGGTGTTGGTTTTCCAAGGGCTTGGGTAGAGAGGAGTTTCCCCAGGCACCTGTCACTTGATGTCCGTTATCAATTCCAGAAGGCCTTTAGAAGTGTTTTGAATGATTTAGACCTGTGGAGTACATTCTTTAGACTTTTGATTACGGTTTCTGGTATTCCTGCTTTGGACATTTAGGAACGGAAGAATGGCATATACATTTTCCAAAATGAAATAAATAGCCATCAGGGTTTTTAAAAAGAAAATCACTGAAGTCAATAGCAATGCTTGATCAATTAATAGTCTCCCCTGTTTTTTGATCAATTAATAGTCTCCCCTGTTTTTTCCATGTGTGTGTGTGTCTTTGGTCTTAATCTTTATGGGTTCATAGATTTGTATAATTATATCAATTTTTAGTTGTTGTTTTCCATATAGGGAATCACTTTTTAAAAAATAACTGTGCTCCATCTAGGAAGCCCGTGAAGGCCTCAATGCAGAATACAAAGACTTGAAGGAAATTAAACGTAGTGGGGCTTAGGCATAATGGAATGTAGTAGGACTTAAGTGGGCTCCTGGATTCTGCAAAAGAATTGCTGCCAGTAACCTCTCACTTATTCTTTCTTTTCCAGGCTCTGCTTTCCGCAGCCGAGGCCAAGACATCTTTGTCGTATTTTCCTTCCTCTAAACCGAATCCTCTCTGGTTGGAGAACCCATTCCTGAAGGAAGCCGCCCTGGCTTCTCTCACTCTTCAGGGGTTAGAGGAGTCCAGAGCTCGCCTGCTGCGTCCCGTCGTGTCCTCTGCTCCGCTGCGATCCTCACTGAACACTTCAAATACACAGTTCAGTTTCCCGCTGGGTCCACTGGATGTCTCTGGCACCCTGACGTCTACGGAATGCAGTACACAGAATGAGGCTCACGTACCCTGCTGTGCACTGGAGCAGCTGCAACTTACGGTAAGGATGGCCTAGGGCCGGAAATCATAAAAAGCAGTGTCCAAAAGCAAGGGTGGGATCACAAGATACATGAGAGAGGTTTCAGATGCAGAAACTCTCAAGGGCCAAGCTTGATAAGTTGCTGAATGGATCTGCCATGCATTTTTATGGGTAAACAGTGATTGCAGGACCTCTGAGCCGGATCAGGGACACAGGAAAAGGGTGAGAGATATCTTGCCCCTTTTCCCTGCTCTGGTTTCCTAGGATCTGGAAGACCCAGGTTCAAATCCCCACTCGGCCGTGAAGGTTGCTGGGTGATATCTCTCTTTGCTCTCTTTTGTAATTAACGTTGCAGGTAGAGTTGCCAGGTTTTGTAACTGGGAAGACATTTGGGGCAAGGACGTGGGGTGTGTGTGTCTGACATTGTGTGTGTCATTATGTTATCTCCGGGGAAACCGGGCCGCTCTGGATTCCTAGAGCTGCCCTGCCTGGATGAAGAAGGACGGAATGGGGGAGACGGGGTGCAGGAAGGAGGAAGTGGAGCCACGAACTTCTCTGGTTATATTCGGATCCACGTGTGTTTGAATCTGAGACTTTTGTTTTTTGAAAATCTGGATTCTGAAAACTGCCTTCTCCCAATTCTTTTATTATCTAGATTCCTAGAGTGACCCTCTGTCACTTCTGGGTTTTCCCGCAGAAGTGATGTAATGATGGCAGGCAGTGCTGCCAACTTTACCTTTTCCTTTCTGGGCAACGGTCAGTTAGCAGGTTGGCTTTGATTGCGCGTACATTGTGTTGGGTCCCAGAGACAAGTTCTGGGTCTTAACAGGTTTACCCAGGAGTGCCCTGGTAGAGGAAGTCTCAGATCTTTTGCTGAGGATGCTTCGGCTGGTAGCTAATGAGATTTCAACAACCGTGCTTTGCCCACCTTGTCTGATCATGCTAATGAGTTCATAACCTCTGTTGCAACTACGAGATTGTCTCGCAAGTCGTATTGAGCCCAACACACGTCAGAGGTCATTCACTGGGTTTACTTTTCTGGTACTACTAAGGAGATTTCTGGCAATCTGATTTGAAGGGCTGAATAAGCATCCTTTGACATGGTCAAATAAGTATCTGATGCTGTCGACTTTGGTATTTCCCTTGCCCAGGGATGGCAGACCAGTTAGGAGTCCCAAGTGACTTCCTAAATTCCCTGAGGGATTTTTTAAAGTCTCAACATTGACTGTCTTGGAGCCACAACAGTAGCATGGGAGGGAGCTATAGACAAAGTTGTTCCCCGTGGTCTTTCCCTCCTTTCTAGTAGATTCTCTGCTTTGTGTCCTCCAATTTCCTAGTAAACAAGGAAATGAGAAGGGAAATGGTGTGGAAGACTTGTGCTGAAATGGACAGAACGCTCTGCTTCTGCAAGTCTGCGGAGCAGTGAAGACAACTTTCTTCACCACCTCCAGTGCATCAATCTTCACTCAGCAGAATTATTTAAGGATGTTATGGGCACTGTTAAGTGTGAACCCTGACTGTATAGAAGAAAATGGTCTGGTCAGTTGCCATGATGTTTTTGCTAGATAGTTTGCTGATAATAATCCCCCTCTTACTTGGTCCAGTTTGGGCTTATGCTAAGTGTTGCATTTAATGATACTGGTGGCATAAAGCAACAAGTGGGCCGGGATCAGTTGCATTCTGTTGGTCTGAGCACTGAGTCTGAATTGCTTATGGGAAAGCTGTTTCACTTCCACACTTCATATAAAAACAAGATACAAAACCATTACATGAAATGCCTTGTTACTTTATACAGAACAATCTGAATGCAGGGAGAGAGGAGGATACTAAATGTTATAAATTATCCGCTACTACCCACATATATACATATGTATGTTCGATATACACAAACAACCAATAGTGGAAGTAGAAGTATTTAAGGATCTAATTCACAAATAATTGGTTTATAATCTGGATAGCTGAAGGGACTCAAATGGATTGATAAAAGCACAAAATTTCCAACCATTATTACCATCCACAGTTTAAACATTGTGTATGTCATGGGCGTGACAGTGTAGACTTTTGATCTCCCTGGTAGAAGGTCAACAGTGTCCTTTCGGGGGGGGGGGGATCCTGAGAAAGAACTTGTTTTTCATTTTCCTCCTCAGCAAAGAATCCTCTCCTGTTTCCAGATATTCTGAACTCAACAGCCCTTCCTCGTCAGGAAAACAACCCCAAAGTGTGCCGTGCCTCAAAGAGGCGTTGGAAGAACCTTCTTCTCAGGGTTCTACAGATAGTTAGATTCTCTAACTGGGATTCACTTCAAGGTGCTGGTTTTGACCTTTAAAGCCCTTTATGGTCAGGGACCTGCCTATCTGAGGGACCACCTTTCCCCGCATGTCCCCCAGAGAGCACTGCGATCAGGGTCACAAAACCGCTTGGCCCTCCCTGCCCCTAAGGATGCCAGATTGACATCAACTAGGACCAGGGCATTCTCTCTGGCAGCTCCGACTTGCTGGAATGAGCTCCCGGGTGAGGTCAGGGCCCTGCGGGACCTTGGACAGTTCCACAGGGCCGTGAAAATGGAGCTTTTCCAGCAAGCGTCCCAATAGGAGCGGTACGTTATCAGCGATGCCCTGCACCAACTTATTCTCAGCCCCAGCTGCCTAGAGCAGACACACTGCTGAACATGCTTTTAAACGCAGCTACTTAGAGCAGACACACCACTGAACGTGCTTTTAAACACATTTTACTGTATCTGTATCACCACCGACATATCAACTGTTTGAATTGTTTGTGTTTATTTTATGCTGTATATTATACCGAGTTGTATATTGTTTTTACTGGGTTTTATGGAAGCCGCCCTGAGCCTGCCTCAGCGGGGAGGCCGGGGTCAAAGTTAAAATAATAAATAAATAACTGATGTGGTTGGGGTTGCCAGGTTCCCCATGGCTACCAGCGGAGGATGGAGAGGTAGATTTCCCGGATCTATGTTGGGGGACTCCTGGAGATGTGGAGATGGAGCCTGGGGAGAACAGGGACCTCAGTGAGGTACAACGCCATAGAGTCCCCCCTCCAAAGCCTCCCTTTTCTCCAGGGGAACTGATCTCTGTAGCCTGCAGATGAGCTGTAATTCCAGGGGATCCCCAGGCCCCACCTGGAGGCCGCTATTCCCTGTTCCTCATGGTCTTGAAGGCCCCTTCCTTGCCCTCCATGGCTCCTTAAATGTTCTTGGAAAGGGATCAGGCCAGGGTAATTTATTAATTAACTACTGGCTAGGGTAATTAATACATTAATTTCCAAGAATCTTTGAAGTGTGCTGTGATTGGGCCACGACTTAAGATATCCTCTGCGGCTAGGGATAGGCTAGCCGGTTATATAATCCTCCTTTTACGGGCCTGGTTATGGAGTGGGTGTGGCAGAGCAAACACAGGGATACCTGAATGTCCCTTTTAGCCTGCCTCATTTCCATCTGGCTTCAGGCCCGGTCATGGGACAGAAACACCACTGGTTGCACAGGTGGATGGACTTCATTTGGATATGGAGACACATCTTTTCTCATTCTGAGATCTGTTTGACGTAGTAGGCCATGATGTGCGGTTACATCATTTGTAAAGTCAGGTGCAGAGTTTCTGGCACAATCCTGTGATGGTTTGGGTCATTTTTGTTTATTCAGGTGGACTCGGAGGATTCCTCTTGGAGATGTAGAATCCCATACTTTAGACTTTAAATATGTGCTTTAAAAAGTACAGTTGCTCTGTGCTTTTTAATATATATATAGGAAGCTGTTAAATGGCTCAACTGTAGCTCTAGAGTTTGGTGTCATAGAGAGAGAGAGAGAGAGAGAGAGAGGAGGCTAGTAAATGGATCTACTGTAGCTCATTGACATACTGGTGGCACCCAGCTCTTGTGTTTTTAACGTAGAAGCTAAATAACTAGATGTGGCTATGGCTGTCCTAAACCAATGTATGGATGCTGTTATCAAATGGAGGGAGGAGCACAAGTTGAAGCTAAATCCAGATGTTTGGAGGTCATTCTGCTTGGAAAAATTGGTCCCATAGAGGGGACTGACTTGTTTATCATGGGTAGCATTAGGCGATCACGAAGTGACCACATGAGAATCCTCGGGACTCTTTTTTTATTATTATTAATTTTTATTTGATTTTACAAGGTTTACATTCCAAAACATTATTAACATACATTGTAGAGTCTCATACATTTAACATCTCAATCCAGTCATATACCCTTGACCATCTTTTATAATATACTTTTTCATTTTTATTTTGCAGCATCAGGCTCAGATTGTCCATTTGTGCTAAATCTAGCACTTTCACCATTAATTCTTCCCTTGTCGGTATTCTATCTAATTTCCATTTTTGGGTCAATAATATATGTGCAGCGGTTATTATATATACTAGTAGGTATTTATCCTGCTGACTATAACCCTTAGGTAGTATATTCAATAAGTATATTTCAGGTTCCAACGCCAAATTCTTCTCCATTATTTCTTGAATTATTCTCCTAACCATTTTCCAATATCCCTGAATTTTACAACATGTCCACCACATGTGAAAAAATGTCCCTGTATTCATCTTACATTTCCAGCATTGACTGGAGTAGCCGGGGTAACATTTAGCTATTTTTTCCGGTGAGAATCCTCGGGACTCTTTACAATCCTTCCTTACTTTTTGAGAAGCACTTTGGGGGCTGATAAGGAAAGAATGTCTCCCCCCCCCCAAGTTATATCTTGAAAACGATTCTCCTTTCTAAATTAAGCTTATTTCAGCCACGCTAATCCAGGCGATCATAACTTCTTGGTTAGAATATGGTAACGAGCTGTAAGTAGGGCTCCCCTTGAAGTCCACTTGGAAGATTTCACTAGTACCAAAATGTGGTAGCTCACCTGCTTACAGATTCGGGGTACGTTACGTTAGTGTTGAAGGAAGTTGTGTTAGCTTCCAAATTGATTTTGGATTCAGTTCTAGGTGCTAGTTCTTACGTATAAGACCTTCACGACTGGGGTGGACATACCTGAAGGATCTTTTCTCCCGCAGTGAGCCCGGGCACTCACCTAGATCTTCGCAGCAGTCCCTGTTCTTCTTTCCCTCAACTTGGATGTTACGTGCATTTTCTGTAAAGAGTCAAATGCTCTCTGTTTGAAGAACTTTGAAGTAGTCTTTCAAAGGGTTTGTGAAAAATGGCACTTCAGAGGGCTCATGCTAACTTTTTAATGTAGTTCTGGTTTTGTCCATTGGCTGGACATTTGTCCCTGCGATCCTGATGGGACAGTTTAGATGTGTATTTTTAGGGTATGATCCTGCAAATTGGATTTCCTGCGATTTCTCAGAGTGGTTTAGGCCTTTTTGTGATATATAAGCTGCCCTGACCTGGATGGCCCAGGCCATCCCTACCTCATTAGACCTCAGAAGCCAAGCAGGGCCATTGGGATGGGAGACCACTGAGGAAGTCCCGGGCCACTGAATATGCAGAGGAAAGCAACGACAAACCATGTCTGAATGTCTCTTCCCTTGAAAACCCAAGGTGGTTGACATAAGTCGGCTACAGCTTGATGCAGGAACTGGAAAGGTGGGGTATCCTTTTTTGGTGAACCAATTGTATGGTGGGTCAGCAGTGGCCACAGGGCAAGTCTTCAAGATTTGCTTAAAGCTGCCTTAGAGGATTTTCAGATAGAATGTGGAGCTGATACAACTATGGAGCAAAGAATGAAATTCTCCTGGACAGTCTGTTTTTAGGCATCTCGGGGTCAGACTAGGGAGATCTTCGACCAGTAATTTTATTTTATTTTATTAAGCAAACACAGCTGCATTGGTGGTGGCAGTGGAGTTTTAGATGGGATATGGTGTTGCCCAACACACTTAAGAAAAGGGTTGTGGCTCAGTGACAGATCATGTGCCATGCAAGTAGAAGGTCCCAAGTTCAGTTAAGGAATTGCAGGAAGACCTTTGTCTACCTTAGATCCTGCAGAACTGGAGCAAACAATGCTGAGTTAGTTGCACTAATAGTCTGATTCATTTGAGGCAGCTTCATATGCTTAATTCAGGGTATGATCTGCCAGGACGTTGTCCTGCATAAGACCCAGAAGTTGGTGTAAAAAGTGCCATTTGTCCTGTGGAACCAAAACAGAAAAGTCCCAGGTACTCAAAGTCATTACTGGGGCAATGGCCACATTAGACTAGGCCGGGGTGCATGTCATTGTCCTCATTATATTAAACTGTCATGGCTGTGCAGAATTTCCCCAGTGAATTGAACCTGTAGGTAACCCTGGGGGACGCTGATAAATTCGTTTTGGCTTTGGCTAAGAGTCCGTTCATTTTCTATCTTTGCAGGCCGAGGGAGAGGGGGACAAGGTAGACTCAGCCGGCGTGATGCCAGCATACGTCCTGACAGTTCCCGAGGATGCGCTGAAAGAACAGCCGACCGAGAGAGACTCCTTTGACCACGAGATGACAGTGGACAGCCAAGAGCAGGAAGTGAGAATGCACAAGGTAAGGAAGGTGGCAAGGTGGGGAGGGGCTGTGGCTCAGTGGTCGAGCATCTGCTTGGCATGCAGAACTTCCCAGGTTCAATCCCTGCAATCTCCAGTTGAAAGGACCAGGCCGTGGGTGATGCAAAAGATCTCTCTCTACCTGAGACCCTGGAGGGCCGCTGCCAGTCTGAGCAGACTGGACCGACTTGTATGGACCGAGGGTCTGATTCAGTCTAAGGCAGATTCACATGTTCCTGTATTCAGTAATGGACTATTGGGTTTGAACGAGGCCAGTGCCTGGAGTTTTGCTTCTAAATGCAGAATTCGGTACACAATTTAGGCCCCTGCCACACTGGCCGGATGATCCGCCGCTGAAGGGCGGCAAATTAGAGCTGCAGCAAAAACAAGGACGGAAGTGCGATCAGACATCCCCCGAGTTGCCGCGGACAAACCTGTTGCTTGCGATCAAATGTCGATGTTGGTACGCTCACTCATACGCTACTTGCGCGCAATCAGTCATACGCTACTTGCGCACGCTCCTTCTTCCGGTTCTTCCCATCCCATGGAGGCGTGGCGGCATGAAACCCATGGCCGTTTCCGGCATGCCAGGACGCATGCGCGTGCCGGATGCAGCGTGGTATCTCTGCCTCCACGATCATACGCTCGCCGGCGCAACGCATTTTCCAGTTGCTAGTACCCTTTTGCCGGTACTTTTTTGATGCGCTTCTTCGGCCCGATGGAACGGCTTGGAAACAGAAGCGGGACGATTCCCAGATGTTGAGGTATGATCGTGCCGGTTTGATGCGCCCTGTTCCCGTCTATTTTCCGTGCCAATTCCTCCCGTGTGGACAGGGCCTTAGTATCCCAAGAATGTTGGCTTTCATTTTTAAAAAAAATGATTTCTAGACCATACGGCTGCAAACACAAGATCCTTTCTAAGCAGGGTAATGTGTACAAGGAGAAAATGACATGAGCTCATCTGAACCCTGTGCCAAGAATAGCTCAGTCCTTTGAACTCATGCTGCACATTGAGACTTGCGTGATTGTTCTTATTTTGCATAATTTTTAATTGGCATGGCTTTATTTTGGTTTCGTTGGTCGTGGGCACAGGAAAGAAGCAACACAGGGCAAAAGAATGTATTCTTGGACCTCTTAGGGCCAAAATACACATTCGGGTTTTGAACAAGTCGGGTCCGGGAATGGCGCTGGCAGAGAGAGAGATTTCCCTGTTTTTGCCGCTCTGCGTGGGTATTTTGTGATTGCGGAGCAGCAAGAACAGGGAAATAACTCCCCCTGTGGTGTTTACGCATGGGAAAATGGCTTGGGGAGGAAGGTGGGAGGAGGTACCCCCCCCCCAGTGTTCCAAGCCCATTTGGAGTCTCCTTTATTTCTTGAAAGCCATTCTGTGCAGCTGCTGTGTGGCTGCAGGTAACCGAGCTCATTAAAAACCCGTATGTGTAGTACGGCCCTTATTCAGCCACCAGTCTGTCTTTGGAGCTCTCAGGAGCCATTGCCCATACTCTTCTGCGCACATTCTTAGCCAGAAAGGTGGACTGTAAATGAAGCAGGTAAATAAATCTCATTGTATCCCATAAGGACTAAGAAGTTGCTGGTGCTATTTTTTTTAATGACAGCCCGACCTCGTGTCCATATTTTGCCCTCCATGAAACTAAATTATATATGCCGCTCAGTGAGCAGGCCTCATGCTTTTCTGTGGTGTGGGGTCTCAAGGGAACCAGGTTCCTGGCTTTATTCTCATCCTGAGGCAATTTAATGGGATAATGTTGGGACGGGGAGGGTGAACCGTAGACCTCCTGCCTTCCTTTCTCTGGATTGTTAGTTACCTGGAACTAATGCTCCCTTTAAGCTGTGGAGTCTTGTGAGCAAAAATTCTACGTTGTGAGCTACTTGCTTTAAAGCTGTGAGTGAGCAATTTGGCTGCTGCATAAATGAGTTTGCGCTGGAGCCATCCTTCCTAAGCCAAGACAAAAATCTGTGAGCTGGAGGCTAAATAACTGTGAGCTAGCTCACACTAACTCAGCTTAGAGGGAACACTGCCTGGAACCTGCCTTTGGGTTTATCTTACTCTGACTCTGTTCAGACATCAATACAGAACCCGTGTTCGGGCAAAAGGAAACACTTCTTTACTCAATGAGTAATTGAATTGTGGAATTCACTGCCGGTGGTGGCAGTGTTGGCCAAGGGGTTTAGACAGATTCTTGGAGGCAGGGCCGGCCTGTCATAGACTAAATTGAGGCAGTTGTCTAATACCAGGGCGCCGCACTGGCCTGCCTGCCACCCCGCCTTCCCTTCCCTTGCGTCCTGCTCAACCATCAACTGCGTGGGAAAGTAGGTTAATGAGTGTCTCACCGCACTCCCTCTGCAGCAACTGATGCTCCGGTGCTGCTGCACATTTGCTACTGTCGGAAGGGAGATGCCCGCTCGACCTCGCCTGCTCAACTCCCCCCCAACACACACATACACTCGGGAATAAGGTGCGGCTGCCTCTCTTCTTCAGCACCTGGGAGGCCGGTTGAAGGTGACTGGCCTCGCTGGAGGGAGGGAGGGATGGTCCCAGGCAGCTGCGGGGAGGGGAGGATGGAGGGAGAGGCGGAGATTAACTGGAACCTGAAAGCTGCTGCAGTCGTTTGGCTGACGTTCAGGAGGAGGAGGAGGAGGAGGAGAAGAGGCACTTCTCGCTGCGTGGCTTGCCTGAAATCCCCTCCCAGATGCTACAGCTTGGCTTGGCGCCAGAAGGGGGAGCACCAGAAATTGGTGGGCGCACGGGGGAGGGGCGCCAGAAGGTATCCTCGCCTTCCCTGCAAAAAAACCTGGGGCCGGCCCTGCTTGGAGGAGAGGTCCATCAATGGCTACTAGTCATGGTAACGAATGGGAACCGCCACATTCGGAGGCAGGAAATTTCTAAAGCCCAATGCTAGGAGGCGACATCCGGGGAAGGCCTTGTCCTCTGTGTCCTCTTTGTTGGCCCTCTAGAGTGGGTGTCCCCAGCCTTTTCTTGAGCCTGTGGGCAACTTTGGAATTCTGATGCAGGGTGGTGGACACAATCTCAAAATGGCTGCCACAGGAAGTGGAGCCGGACACACAGAGGAAGTGCAAGTCCTGGGGAGAAGAGCGGAAATTAAAAAAACTTGGGAAAGAGGAGTGAGAGAGAATAAAATCAACACTGTGGTGGCAGCTGCTGCCAGAACGTTATTTTAATCTGCACAGCCAGTCAGATCTGCAGTGGTCAATCAGTAGCCCTGGTGGGGAGGAGCTTCGCCTGACCCCACCCACTTTCTAGAAACATCTGGTGGGCATGCGGAAAGGTGTTCGTCGGCGCCGCAGCACCCATGGGCACCACATTGAGAGCCCCTTCTCTAGGGCAGTTGTTTGGCAGCTGCTGAATTAGATGGGCTGCTGTTCTGATCCAGCAGGGACCTTCTTATGTCCATGTGGTGTAAGGGTTGATGTCACACTAGGACTGGGGAGGCCCAAGGTCAGATCCCCAGTGCTCCGTGAAGTTCATTGAGCTGGACCGTTTGCGATCTCTCAGCTTCTTCGGGTTGTTGTGAGGGCAAAATGGGTGGTGGCGCACACACCCTGTGCTCCTTCAAGGAAATGTGGAATAATGATCATCACAGCAAAATCCCGTTCAGGAAATTTAACTTGTTTGAAACTATGTCTGAAGTTGACAATCCATGAACATAAGAACATAAGAAAAGCCATGCTGGATCCAGCCAGTGGCCCAATCCAATCCAACACTCTGTGTCACACAGTGGCCAGAACCATCAGGAGGTCCACCAGCGGGGCCAGAACTCCAGAAGCCCTCCCCCTGTTGCCCCTCAAGCACCAAGAATACAGAGCATCCCTGCCCGAGGCAGAGTGTTCCCTCTATACCACAGATGGATCTCTGTTCCTTATGTGTATCCATACGTTCATCCGTTGGCAAACCAAATGGAGTTTGCAAAACCTGGTTTGCACTGATAGTAGTTTGGCATGACAGCTGAATCGATAAGCAGGGGCTGCAGGTGTTTCTCTGCTCCTACACCCAGAGGCTGTACTGCTGAGCAGGTGGAGAGGGAAGGAAAGTTAGACAAGACCGGTTTGCCAGCTCATTTTTAAGTTCAGATTGATGGTTTGGAGCCTTAAGCCGTGGGTAGCCAATGAACGGTTGGGCGTAGTGTCTGAGCAGTGCCCCGGTGAGGGTGGTCAGGGATTGTAACCCCAGTGAATTAGAACTGCCCTCCCCAGTTCCATACTGTGACAGAATTGAAAATCTGGGACCAGCAGAATGTTAAGAGAGATCCCTGCTGAGTCACATGACCTAGAGGGGAGGGGGCCTTTTGGCCGGAGCACTCCCTGAGTGACAGAAAACTGACCTAACTGACTGTTGGGGGCGGACAGTTGGAAGAGAGAGAGTTGGACAGAGGAGTTAGCAGGAGCAATGGGCTAGCAAAGCTCTGAGGAAAACAGCCTGTTAACTTTTGTGTAAAGGACTGTGGCGGAAGAGCACTCTGCACTGATTCCTCTAATATACCGAGGAGAGTAAAAGTATAAGACCTGAGTGGTCACAGACACCAGAAACACTGCTCCACAGGTGTAAGACAGAATCTCCGTCAAGGGTTGTGCTCCCCCAGCCCAATTTGAGAAAGCACTCGGCAGTCTTGTAGAGGAGAATCAGATCTTGTACTTTATTGATCAACAAAGGAGGGAGGTGCAGATCCAGTAAGGTTTTGGACCCCACAGCTCTCCCTAAGGTTACAATGGGAGACATAGGGTTTTATACCCCCTATGACAGTTAGAAATAAATCACAATTATTGGTTCCATCAAAGTTAGTCTCATATCCGTCACACCATTCTGATTGGGCCTGAATCTATGGGTTGGATTTTCTCAGGCAAAAATGTGCCTTCTTCAGTTGAACAATAGGCTTTCTTCTTCCCATTCTGTGAGATTCTAAAAAGTATCTAATTGTAGCAAATATTAGTACATCATGCCGTGTTCTCCATCTAACGCGAGCAAACTGACATCAGGAGCATGCACAGTTACAACTGGCCACTATAAACAAGGTCAGTCAGTTACTACCTGTCAGCATTTAGTGTTTTACCCATAATGCATTTAAACAATGAACCAGAGTGAATATCTGAATATATGTTCATGATTGATTTCAGTCACTGTGATTAGAATCATCAAAGGCACTTAACATAGGCACCATGGAAGCGTTAAGAGCACCTACTAAGTTAAACTGACTGTTAGCCAGTGGCAGAGCCAGTGGTAGGGTTGCCAAATCTCTTTTGGCCGGGAGCAGGGGACTCCCGGCCGGCGTCTGGGTGTGTGCGCACGCGCCGCGTGTGCGTCACCTGGAAGTGACATCGCACGCTGGGGGTGGGGCAACGGCCATTTGAGGGGAAAACAAAGAGTTTCCCCCTCAAATGGCCGTGGCCCCGCCCCCAGAATGCGACGTCACTTCCGGGTGACGCGCATGCGGGGGTGGGGTTTTCCCCAGGCCCGATTTTCGTGGCGTCGAAAATCGGGCCGTCAAAGCGGGGGATTCCCCGCCCCCCGGGCACATTTGGCAACCCTAGCCAGTGGCAGAGTACTGGTTCCATAAGCAGTGTGTACAACACAGGGATTTATCAAGTGGCTGAGTAAAGGCTAGAGTGTCTGGAGAGAGGAGTCTGGACGGCTGGTTAGGTGTCCAGTTAGACTCAAAGGGGCCAGACAAATAAAAGCCAAAAGTTAGCCACTACAGGAGTGACTGGAGAGTGAGATCTGAGTTGTGTGGTGTGAACTAAGGAACATCTAGATACTGAACTAAGAGTGAAAAGCAGACAGCCTAAGCCAAGGCAAAGGGATTTGTTTATTCAACAAAGTGTCAGAACATCCTGTGTAAATACATCCCATCCCCCAGTTGTGTTTTCTGTGCAATAATAAAGTAACTGTGCCTTTTGAATGTTACAAGTATTGGTGCCTGACTTTCTGGGGAGCCATATACTGTGCAGTAGTCCTCAAGGAAGACAGCCTGAAATAGACAAACCCCAAAGAGAATATTATACCTTGGGGTGTAGAGGACTGGTCAGGAAAAATAAAATTAACTCTGACTAGGTCCTGACACGCAGACCCTCACAGAACTGGGAGTATAAAGGGGGTTCGTGACACATACATCTCTTTCTAAAATGTCTTCCACCTTTTCCCTCCTCCACAGCTGACGTTGTTGAACCTGGTTTGCTGTTCGTTGGTAGAAGGTCCCACGTTTGGGAGCTCCGCAGGAGAGATGCAAAAGGCTCTGGAAGGAGTGTGTGAGAAGCTAGCAGAGTGTGAACCTGAATTTATCCTCAAGGTACAGAGGGGATGCTGGGAGGCAGGGTTGGTTCCGAACCCCCTGTGGGAGAGCGAGGCATTGTGGGTAACTTGGACCATGGGTGAGCGTAGACCTGAGAGAGGTGTCACACTTGCATATTCTCTCAGCACTTTTTTTGTTTTTTGCTAAATGCATGGCTGATTTTCTTCCAACTGTTAGCAGTTGTGTTTCAGATATTTATAAACAAGTCTTTGTCTAAGATGAGCTCCTTTGTGTAGTCTATTGACTATTGTATGGTAGCTCAAGAGAGCATTTTATGAAGGGATAATTTTGTGGACGCTGTACGGCACAGATGCTCACAAGGTTTGCTCTCTGACTTGTTCTCGGCATACATCCGAGAGTTCTGAAAGAACTCAAATGTGTACTTGTGGATCTCCTGACAAAAATATGTAATCTTTCCTTAAAATCTACCTCCGTTCCTGAGGACTGGAAGGTAGCTAATGTCACTCCCATCTTTAAAAAGGGTTCCAGAGGAGATCCAGGAAATTACAGGCCAGTCAGTCTGACGTCGATACCAGGTAAATTGGTGGAAACTGTTATTGAGGAAAGAATTAGTAGGCACATTGATGAACAAAACCTATTGAAGCAGACTCAGCATGGGTTCTGTAAGGGAAGATCTTGTCTCACTAACCTGTTAGTGTTCTTTGAAGGGGTGAACAAACACTTGGACAAGGGGGACCCAATAGATGTTGTTTACCTTGACTTCCAGAAAGCTTTTGATAAAGTTCCTCATCAAAGGCTCCTAAGTAAGGTCAATAGTCATGGGATAAAAGGACAAGTCCTCTTGTGGATCAAAAACTGGCTAATGAATAGGAAACAGAGAGTGAGTATAAATGGGCAATTTTCTCAGTGGAGGGTGGTAAGTAGTGGGGCACCACAGGGATCAGTACTCGGTCCGATGCTTTTAAACTTGTTTATTAATGATTTGGAGTTGGGAGTAAGCAGTGAAGTGACTAAATTTGCGGATGATACGAAGTTGTTCAGGGTGGTGAAAACCAGGGAGGATTGTGAGGCATTCCAAAGGGATCTGTCGAGGATGGGTAAGTGGGCGTCATTGTGGCAAATGGGGTTCAATGTGGCCAAGTGCAAAGTGATGCACATTGGAGCAAAATATCCTAAATATAAATACACATTGACTGACTGGCCTGTAATTTCCTGGATCTCCTCTGGAACCCTTTTTAAAGATGGGAGTGACATTAGCTACCTTCCAGTCCTCAGGAATGGAGGCAGATTTTAATGAAAGATTACATACTTTTGTCAGGAGATCCACAAGTTCACATCTGTTCTTTCAGAATTCTCGGATGTATGCCATCTGGGCCTAGTGATTTATCAGTTTTTAAGTTGTCTGTCAGTCGTAGGACCTCCTCTCTCATCACCTCAATCTGACTCAGGTCTTTCAACACCCTCCCTGAAGTCAGCGGTTCTGGAATGGGCAAGCACTTCTCATCTTCCACAGTGAAGACGGAGGCAAAAAATGCATTCATCTTCTCAGCCATTTCCCTATCATCCTTCACTACTCCATCCCTCCCCAAACCCCACCCGTACCAGACTCCACCCCCTGCATCTTCAGGTATTTCCCAGACTGGAGCTGGCAATTCTGTGCCAGTTGCTGGGCATTGAGTGGCAACCCTGGAGCACTGAGGGCTCTGGGATTTTTCCTCAGTGGGGACTGATGGTTAAGGGATAGTCAGTCCTCCAGTAGCTTTTTTCACCTGCCCGTTAGAGCTTGGAGGAGACGACCTCGCCCTTCCGAGGGGAGTGGGCAGGAGGATGCATGCGTGCACGTGTGGGACTTTGAGTTAGAACCAAGGCAGGGAGAGTGGCAAAAGCAGGGAGATGGCTGGGCGTTGATTGGGCACCTTGGGGGGGGGCAGGGCCGGTTCCAGGTCTTGTGGGGCCCTTGGCGGAGAGTGCCTTGGCAGAGACTCCCCTCCTCTCCCCAAGCCCCTGTTCACGCTTCTCTTTGAACCCACCCATCACACGCCTGTGCCTCCTTTCCCCAACCCCCAACCCCCTCACCTGCCCTCTCACAGCCATGGGCACGCTCCACCTCAAAGCTCCAGCTGCTCCACCTCAAAGCATGCTGACACTGGTCCTGCCTTGCTGTTGTACACCATTCCTCTCTCTCCGGGGATCCAGTCTGCTCCTCTGGAGGAGAGACTGTTTGCCACCTTCTCCGGGGATGTGCTCATCTCTTCTTCGCTGGTAAAGCAGCTACCCCCAGAGTTCCATAAGATTCTGGCGTTCTCTTCCCTGCAAAGGGAGCCGGCAGCACAGGTGAACGCCACTCCCAGGGCGGCTCATTCCCAAGGGAGTTGGGGACCATGGAACGGCAGCATTGGGGGTGGGGGTGGGGGAGTGTTATTTTTGGCAGAAAAATACTTGGGGCGAGGAAAGAACCTAGTGTGGGAATAAGGGGTCGGGTTTGTTTCTGTCAAGGAGGAAATCGAAATAAGGATATTCAGACTGAACCAGCCAGCTTTGGAAATGTAACCTAATGTGACCTTATCCTTAGCTTGGATGCGCTCTCCCCCCCCCCCTTCTTCCCAGGTTGCCTTGTATGCTCGCCAGGAACTTAACATCCGCAGCACAGCTAACTTTCTCCTGGCCCTGTCTTCCCGCCTCCCACCCTGCCGTCCACACCTGCGGCGCTATTTCAGCCACACCGTGCAGCTGCCCTCTGACTGGATGGAGGTGGCTCGGCTATACCAGGTGAGAGACGCCCCCCTTCCCTTCCCTTCCCTTCCCTTCCCTTCCTCTGCTCAGGTTTTGACTTTGTCCAGAGCCTTTGGGCAGGGAGTTCCACAGCTGATTCAAGAACCGGAGCTCCCTCTTTGCTGCCTCCTTGTGGTCGGAGGGCACCATTTCCTCCCCTTTCTCTCCTATGCAGAGCCTAGCAAAGACTGATACTCTGGCACCTTTGCCTTCCTGCCTCCGTGCTGCAATGGCTGACAAATTCCGGCAGTTTGATGCATACCAGTTGGCCAAATACAACACCCAGAAGAGCCGTGGGAAAAAACATCATCGGCCAAAAGCCAAGAAGGTGCAGTTGGGGGCCTGTGAGCTTCTGTTGGAGACTCTCTTGTGCATCGTTAGGTAGAGGCTGAGGGATACAAATGTCATCTTTTCTCCCTGCCGCATGCGTTGGCTGTGCAGCTAGGAAATTATGGAATATGCATGGATATTCTAACTACTCAGGGGAAAGTGCTATGCAGTGGGACGTGCCTGCAGTGTAGGTAGTAGGCGGAGGAGCAGCCATTCCAGTTTGGAGGAAAAGGCTTCATTGTGGACTAGATCATCATCATGTTGCATGTTAATTTGCCGGCTATAAGTCTGAACCTTTTTGCCGTTCTAAGTGTATTTGGTAAAGTGCGTGTGCACACGAAAGCCCATACCTCGAACAAACCTTTGTTGGTCTTCAAGGTGCCACTGCACTCTAAATTTGTTGTTCAAAGGGGTGTTGTGAGGATTAAAGTATCTCAGTGGAGGAAAGGTGGGATAAGAATGCGGCAGGTGGGTTTGGAGACCCTGCCCATTCACAAAGATTATTCACCAGCCATTGTTGTGTTCTCAGAAGAAACAGGGATCACTTCACCAGAATGACTGGAGAAAGCACGTGTTGGGTAGCAACTGTATCGTTGTGCAGAGAGTGACAGATCTGGAAAATAAGGTGAGTGCTACCGGGGAGGGCCAAGGCAGGCATGGCTGGGGAGCCAAACTGATGACTGCGGGTCGATGAGGTTCAAGTTTGGGAGCCCCGGCAGGAGAGATGCAACAGACTCTGGAGCGAGTCTGTGAGATGTGAGCGGAGTGTAAACCTGAATGGATCCTCTCGGTCCAGAGGGGAACAATTGAGATGGGGTTGCTTCCAAACCCCAAGCGGGAGAGTGAGGCATTGTGGGTAACTTGGTGCATGGCTCACCTGAGGGAGGTGTCAAACACGCATATTCTTTCAGCACCTTTTAACTAGTATTGGGGCCTTCCGGACATGACCCATGGATACTTCTCAGTCCGCATCCTCATTTATTTCCTGCAGCATGAGAAGCTCTTGGAGTCAGCCACGGAACACGTGGCAACCCCCAGGGATCTTTTCTCTCTCAAGGCTTTGATCCGGCGCCTTCATATTTCTGAGCCGGCCCAGGATGTGATGAGTCTCCTGGGACGCAAGTGAGTGAAACCCCACCTTATGGCCAGACTTCAGCAGGCGCAGCCCCGGCATGCTTTAAAAGAAAAGGGCCTTTTGCTCTAACCATGAGGACTAGTGCTTTACTGTTGCATTTTAGATTAAAGCTGCCATATTTCCATGGCAGGTCCAAGGCTTCAGTACATTGCTGCCCCCTCCCACACGGACGTTCTGACTGCACTCGTAAGAACAATGTGGTTCTGTTCCCCTGACATTGCTGGGAAGAGCTGATCTCAGTCGTGTGACGACTCCTCAGTCCATCGAAATGTTTCAGATTAGCATAGCATGGGGACATACTGAGATTTAAGACATCGCTCGAGTGCGGCTGACTGGAGATGATTTACTGCAGCCCCCCCCCCCCCCCCCCTTTCCCGCCCCCATTTGGAATCTTGACACAGTGGGGTGGATGCAGCCGCAAAAGGGCCACTGCCGAACATGGAGCCAGCCACAAAACTGCTGTTGCAGCTCGCGGTTTGGTGTAGTGGTTAGGAGCGCGGACTCTAATCTGGGAGAACCAGGTTTGATTCCCCACTCCTCCACATGCAGCTGCTGACGTCACCTTGGGTCAGTCACAGTTCTCTCAGAGCTGTTCTCTATGAACAGTTCTCAAAAGAGCTCTCTCAGCCCCACCAACCTCAACGGGTGTCTGTTGTGGGGAGGGGAAGGGAAAGGAGATTGTAAGCCGCTCTGAGACTCCTTCGGGTAGAGAAAAGTGGGGTATAAATCCAACCTCCTCCCCTCCTCCTCCTCCTCCTTCTTTGCTGATAGTTGCCCCTGTAGCAACCAATTCTCCACAGGCCAATCAGAAGTCTTGCTAGGCAGGATCCCCACCTGGCCCCATCCACTTTCTAAATACACTTGGTGCTTACCAGGAAGGATGTTGGGGTCTCCTGCTTTATTGGAACAGACAAAGATCAACCCCACTGGCTATACAACCCCGCCAGGCTCTGGCAGCCCATGAGAACTTGGCTTGGAGGTCCATCAAGGGGACGTCCATTCCCCTTCCGTGCTCTCCTTACCTGAGCTCTTTTGTGCCGGCTCCCTCTGCAGGTACCCTTCAGACTTGCACACCTTCTCCCGAAGTCGCCTTCCGGGACCCTGGGACTCGGCACTGGCCGGCACCCGCATGAGACTTCCGAGACCACGCACTTGGGAGCGGGAGCTGAGCCAGCGGGGGAACACTGCTCAAGCCTGGGAAGAGCTGATCGGTACCCGAGAGTTCACTCTTGCTGCGTCTACCTTCTTCTCGTGAAGCTTGACATCCCCCAATCCTAGACACCCAATAAAACCTGTGATCTTCCTTACAGATGCAGGGAAGCTGCCTTTCATGGCCATGCTGCGTAACCTTCGCAGCGTCCTGCGGGTCGGAGTGAGCGAAAGGCACCACCGACGCCTGCTGAGTCGTCTGGAGAACAAGGTGTGGTCTGGGCTCGGTTTTAGCAGGGCCCCTTTGGCAGATGAGCTGGCAAGAATGGTAGAGACACAGGCCTGCCTTAGGTCTGCTCCCCAGGGTTCCGTCACAGTCACGTGACCAGGAAGTGGAACCTAGGGTAAGGCAACCTATGCAGATGAATGGGAGTAGCTATGCAGACAGGGGTGGGCTCAGTTCGGAACGGCTCCCATTGGATTCTGTGGGACAAGAGCTACAAGTTGTGTGGCCCGAGAAAGGGGCAAAAACTGGATTCTTGGTTAGGACAAGTGGGGTCAGCCATGGTGGGAGGCGAGCCGAGCTTCCAGCCCAGTGGATTCCATTTGTCGTCCCATCACTTTCTTCCATAGGAATGAATGGCTCCCATTCACTCTCATGGTCACATGCAGGCAGCGTTACAGATGCCACGAACTGCACCCCCCCCCCCAGTGAGGGGCATTTTTAGCCTCTCTTTCCCCTCCCAACCCACCTGCCTTTCTTCGTCCCAGGAGTCCGTGATCCGCAGCAGGCAGCTCCCATTCCGATTTCTCACTGCCTACAAGGTCATCCAGCAGCTGGAGGAAGAGCTTGACCCCAAAGGTGAGGCCTGTGTCAATGAGGCTGTCCTGCGTGCTCAGAATTGCTCAAGGGGAGGCAAAGCTCGTTTGGCTCCTGGGCCCAGTTCAGAGTGCCGGTGTTGTCCTCTGCATATCCCTCAGCGCAGGGCTGGCATCAGCATGCCTGGAAGTCAGGCAGGTGCCAGGTCGGGTCCGCTGCTGCTGACCCCCACCCACGCACCTCCCCCGCCACCAGTACTCCCAACTGCCCAGCATCATTAAAGAAGGGCACGTGGGTGGTGCATGGCGGGGGCACTCCCGGTGGCCATGGCACCAGCACTCCCAGCTGCATCCACTGGCACCAGTGCAGTTGGAGAAGGGGTGTGTGCAGGGAGTGCTAAACTTTCACAGAGACAGGATGTAACGGTTATGGGAGATTTCAGCTATCCAGATATTTGCTGGAAATCTAACTCTGCTAGACATGGGGCATCCCACAGATTCTTCCATAGTCTTGCAGACAACTTCATCTCTCAAAAGGTGGAGGTGGGAACCAGAGGATCTGCTATCCTAGATTTAACCCTGACAAACAGGGAAGAACTGGTTGATGAAGTGAATTTTGTGGGATCCTTGGGGAATAGTGACCATGTCAGCTTGGAATTTGACAAAGAGAAAGATGTGAAACCAGGACATAGTAGGACTCGTATCCTGGACTTCAGGAAAACTGATTTTAAAAACTCAGAGAAATATTAGGTAGGATCCCATGGCTCGATCCCCACCAGTCCGATCCCCACCAGTCCTCGATCCCCACCAGTCCGGGTTTCGTCCTGGTCACGGGGTGGAGACTGTACTGGTCGCACTGATGGACGACCTCCATAGGCATCTGGACCGAGGCGGTGTGGCGGTGCTGTTGTTGTTAGATCTGTCGGCCACTTTTGATACGGTCGACCATCAGTTGCTGGCCCACCGCCTCGCCGACGTGGGGATTCAGGGGCTTGCCTTGCAATGGCTGGTCTCTTTTCTTCAAGGTCGGGGACAGAGGGTGGCGATAGGGGATCAGCGGTCCAGGAGGTGGCCCCTTGAATGTGGTGTACCTCAGGGGGCAGTGCTATCCCCGATGTCGTTTAACATCTACATGCGCCCCCTTGCCCAGATTGCCCGGAGTTGTGGGCTGGGGTGTCATCAATATGCTGATGACACCCAGCTGTATCTGATGTTGGGCGGCCGGTCGGATTCCACTCCCGATGACCTTAGTCGGGCGTTACAGGCCGTGGCTGGGTGGCTCAGGCTGAGTCGGCTGAAATTAAACCCGGCAAAGACGGAGGTCCTGGGGCTGAGTCGGATCGGTCCAGGGTTAGGGCTCCCTCTCCTGACCTTCGACGGGGCACCACTGGTGCCGGTGTCTGAGGTTAGGAGTCTGGGAGTGCTCCTGGATTCTGTGTTAACAATGGAGGCCCAGGTAGCAGCCACTGCCAAGTCGGCCTTTTACCATCTTCGGCTGGCGCGGCAGTTGGTCCCCTTCCTCGACCGGGATGACCTAGCTACAGTGATCCATGCGACGGTTACCTCGAGGCTAGACTACTGTAACGCTCTCTACATGGGGCTGCCTTTGTCACAAATTCAGAAGCTGCAACTAGTGCAGAATGCTGCAGCCAGGCTGTTGATGGATCTTCCTAGACGAGATCACATCCAGCCTGTGTTGAAAGCGCTGCCAATAGCGTACCGGGTTCGCTTCAAAGTGCTGGTCATTACCTTTAAAGCCCTATATGGTCAGGGACCAGTCTACCTAAGGGACCGCCTTGCCCCACATGTTCCCCCAAGGGCACTACGGTCGGGGACCCAACATCTATT